CTCCTTAAAACACAAAACGTAAGTTTTTCCAGTTTTTTCCGATTGCTGAGCTGTAGTTAAAAAATAAAAAACATTTTTACCATTTTAAATCACATACACTCAGAAAATTACTGCAACAGTTCTGCGCATTTATTTGGGCGATTGATGTTAAATGCGAGTAAGATGTTACCCGGATGGGGTTCTCCTCCCCCCTCCATCACTCCCAAAAATTTATATGAAGCAAAAATACAAAAAAAAAAATTCTTCTTCAAATTGTCATGTTTATCATTAAATTGATATTCCATTTATTTTATGTAACTTCAACAGTTCATTTTTGCAATGCAAAATCAGCGCTGTGTTTTGAATGTAAACTCATTTAACAATGTTTGCAAAATGATTTGGCGGGTTATGTGCTACAAAGATGTAAAATCGCAATAATGTTGAACCGATGTTGCAACATATTGTAGTAGATCGCATATACGTTTTGAGTCGACGTAATACCAACAAACTTCAGTAATTTCTGGAATTTGACGTTTATGGAATATTTCCCTCAACCATATTCGAATGGGTATTTTACCCACTCGTATTTTTTTGTGTGGGTATAGCTACTCACTATACGCATATTATCCGCCGGGGCTGTTTGAATGTTTATTATACATTTGTAATGAAAATTGTTTTGTAGTCCAAAAGAAATGAAACATTTTTATGATAGAACCGTCATTATGATAAAAACAACAGATTCGCTTTTATAATAACAAAAAAGTAAATTTACTCTAAAACAATAAAACTGAAGAATATTCAGTGGAGAAAACAGCTTTGTTTTTTGCTCAGTGTACACTTGGCATTAAACAAATATCATGCATTAATTACAACATACTTCGAAAATATAATATAATAATGAGTTTTACTCAACGTCAATCGTATATTTTTACTTTCTCAAGAATTGTAAACGCGCAGTTTTTAGACTCCATCACACTGTATGTTCATGTTAGAACTGCTTCATCACAGAAAAGTTAAGTCACGCGGTGACTTTTTTGATTCCGTGGACAAGTTTCTTTTGAAGATCCGTTAAAGAAAGTCGTTTTACATGGACAACGACCTAAAGTTTTCAGTTTGCCGACTACGCTTCCATAGATTACAAGTAGAGCTGAAAAAAAACATGATTTTTATCGCATCGCGGACCCACGAAACTTCGTAGTTTCGTGAGAAGCACTTACTTTTCGGCGTACGAAATATTTAAAACGTTTGGAAATTTGTCATGGAAATAATTTGTTTATTCCTAATAAAGCTATATTCCTTATAATTGTAAACTTTATGGTACTTTACAATAAAATAAGCTTTCAGACTAATACATTCAATTTAGAGCATGGCAGGTATGGATGGTGTGAATAGTTAGAATTTAGTACAGCTCCCATTTTGTATGTTTTTATGCTAATGACCACAAAAATGCACATAAAATGTCACTCGTAATCTGTTCTTCAGCGTTTTTCTCTAATAAGATCGTTTTCAATTAGTTCCAAAAAGTATGTCCAAAAATCTACAACTACATATGATTCTTCCTCGGATTTGCTTTCCACTTCCACATGTTTGTTCCCTAATTTTTGAAAAGATTTAAACTCTACAAACTCAGTTTAATTTGTATTAACTTTCACTTCTGCAACTTTTATATATTATATGACGACTTCTTGTATGTTTAAGAGAAAAAGGTCTTAGGTTTAATAAGAATAAGTTGTTAGTCATATTCATTGGAAAACCAGTATTTGCACGCTTAAATACATTACTGTGAGAAGCCAAACGTAATACGTTTATTGTACTTTCATTTTGTAGCATTACTCACTGTTTAGTTTTCTTCGTATTCACCTGAAGTTCTTAAAATTTAATAAATTTGCCACAAGAAACCACGTTTTTGGAAATTTCTCAGATCCTTCTGGATCTGAAAACAAATGATCAGTTCTCCACCAGGAGACCAAGGCGCGTCGAATGACACCACATATGTCTCGATTGATGCATGGGAAGTGGTTTAACCGTGAGTGACAGATCCGCACACATGCGTATTTGCAGTTACTCAAATACTATGTAGAGATAGTTTACGTGCGAGCCATTTTAAAAGTATTTTCATATGTTGAAAATTTGTCAACCATGGCTTTGTTCAAATATTTCTTATAGTATCTAGCATTGGACATGAATCGTAGTAGCTAATAATGTTTTACTCCTGTTCAAAAAGGACATAGTGGTCAAATGTCGATATTCAATGTTATTTTTACCCTTTAAGCCAAAAACTTTGGTAATATCAAGTCTTATCAATTCACGTATGTTTGCTTCACCATTCAGTTTTGAATGAGAGACTTATCTCTATAGCATTTGGAAAAAGACAAAGAAAAAAATAGAAGCAACCCATGAATCAATCAAGACATTTGAGTACCCATGCTCAAAATGTTTATTCTCATTTTAATCTTTCAATTATTCTACCAGTAATAAATTTGTATCACATAATCTCCATATCACATGAAAATTAATTTATAATTATGCTGAATATTCATTTAATTAACAGGTAAGACAGGTCAGGCTCCTGTGTACGTGGACATTCCAGGTTGTGAGTCTTTGCCCTGCAAATTCATTCGCGGGCGTGACATTGCTGCAGATGTTGACTTCTTGATTGGTAAGTATGGAGGTCAAATGTCAATTTAATTTGCCTTTTTTCATTATTAAATAATATATCATAATGTAAGTTAAAAGTGGATAAAATTGTTCTCTAGGGCCAAGTAATTACTTTCTGAAATTCTGATATTTGTAACAAAGTCAATTGAGGTTTCAATTGAGACAATTTTTGTATTAGGATTAAAATAACTCTTATAAAAGTTTTCATTTTTGTATAAAAAAAAAGTCTAAAAATGTATTAAAATGTCTAAAAATCATTTCAATAGAGGATGTGGAAATGCCAAGTTCTTGATTTTTTAAAATTTGTTTTGACAAAATAAATTATTTTCAATATTAAAATTTATTTGTGGGTGGAAAGATTTCACTTTAATTTCCTTTTGAAACATAGGTGTAAATAGAGGTGGATGCAATTTTCTAAGGCTTCTCCAGAAAAATTTCCGACTCAATACGAATTTTTGATGCACTGTCACAAGTACAACAGAATTTGCATACCAAAGAAAAAGCTAACATGTGAAGCATATTCCTTTGAAGATATTTTTTATGCTTCTCCATTTTCTTCCCTGAGCAAATGAAGACATTTAAATTTCTGGGAAAATTTTATTAGAGATACCTGCTAACTTACCCATTTTGCAAATTTGTGGTAAAGTGATTGAATCTCTGTATTGGTGCTACAATTTATTTCTTAAGTATTTTTCTCCAAGCTCAAAATATGATCAAACACATGCTAGCACTCCAAATTTTTTGATTTCCAAAGCTTATTTATTTAAGTTTTAAAATAGTTTATCAACTATTTGGAATTTTAAAATTTTTTTAATGATTTAGTAATGTTTTCAGTTATTGGTAAATTGTCTTGCGATAATTGATTAACCTATGTGATGAATGTCCAATCACATTACATAAATATTTTGAATGTATTTTATAGATCACACAGTGTCAACTCTGAACACCAAGGTTATGGCTACTTCCCTTGGGGTGACCATTGAATATCCTCTCCCTGATCCAAATGCCTGTAATGGTCTTACAAACAGTGAATGCCCACTGAAATCTGGTGAAGAGGTTATCTACCATCTGGAAATGCCTATTCTTTCCATCTACCCTAAGGTATGTATATTAAGAACTTTTCTTAAGAGGTTCTTTAGAAATTCCATTAGGTATTTTCAAACACCTGAAGTCATGAGTGCAATACATCTTTGAAACAGATCTTGCAATAGTATGATTTTTTTTTGGTATGGAAGCAAAAGGAATCATTATTCTTGATCCTTAAATATTCCACAGAAATGTCATTTCTGTCCACAATGGCAGTATTTTGAAAAACAAATTTTCTTGGTTATATCACTTTTTATTTAATCTGATCTAGTCATTGATAACTGTAACAAAAAAAAAAAAATGAAAACACTGTATGTCTATTTACATAGTGTTTGGAGATGTGATTATGAATCATGCCCCCACAAATTATCTTTCTATTATAAATGCACATTCAATAAGTAAAACCAACAAATTTTAAGAACAAATTAAACAAAATTAAAAGGTTCACTTGTTGCTGTTTTTTGCCCATTATTCAAGCTTCAAAATGATAAACATATGCACTGTGTGTACACATCTTCAAAAAGAAAACAAGAAATGAACATAACTAATTTTATCTGGCCATTAGAATTAGAACGAGATTCATTCAATGTTATAATGAAGTTATAATGAACCTAATTACTGGCAATAACTAAGTTTCTAGAATAAGACACTATGATAACTTGGAAACATTTGTTTCAAATTGTTTTACTTATGCCAGTTAACCAATTTTACGTAATACAATGTAGCACTTTTGAGCTGAACTCACAAGTGTAAAGTCAATGAAGGTACAGTCATATGATACTGATACTCATTGATAGATGAGCAGATTAAAAATTTCATTTTTTCTCCCTCTAGGTACAGGTGTTATGATTATGTCAGAAATTTTCTGTTTAATAAATAAGACAAATAAACCAGTTTTCATTACAACTTCGTGTTTTTGAAAAAGTAAAAGAAACCATTTCTTTTATTATCAAAGAATCTCTTTTTAATAGTTTTGGAAATTTTCTTAAAAAATGTTTACCGTCTTTCTAGATCACCGTGAAATTTGAAACAATAATAGACTAGCAGAAAAAATTTCCAAAAATATTTTTGGAATATTGTTTCCTGCTGCTTAACTCTAAAAACAGTATTCACAAAAACCCATGTCACCTTGTACTATTCCATTGCATGAAAATCTCAAATTCTTTGGGGAATTTAAGTGCAGGTTTTTAAATTCTACTTTTTATGTAAAGGATCTATAATTTATATATACATAATTTAATATCGAGCCATTATAATGCACAAAAATAGACATGTCAAGAAATGCAAAATCCAAGCATTCATATTAGATACATCATTCAAATTAGTACAATGTACATCAAATATCAAAAGCATTTCTTGGGGGCCAGCCCAAAGATCAAGCCAAGTCTCCCGTCTTCAGTCTATATGTCAAGTTAACATGATTAATGCACAAGTGTATATCATTTGACAGCATATTTCATTTGATTTGTATATTGATATTTTATTAATGTAAACTACTTACAATATTTGGGGACTATTTAAAATACAATACATTCAGGACTAGGAATTATCTCCTTTAAAAATGTTTGTTTTCATTTTCTACATTTTGAAATTTTGTAAGAGTGATAATAAAGTATCATATTTTATATTATCAAGAAGAACAGAATTTGAAATGATTGTGTGCAGCAATTTCATTAATACAGCATAATTCAGATTTTTTTTTAAAGTCCAAAATGTATCACTTACACAATTGGCACCTGTATAGGTGGGTAAGGATCTTGGGATTCTGGGATATTATCTCTAAAAGGCATTTATCTTAGATTCTGGAAACAAATTATAAACACTCAATTAAATTTTGTTTTCTATCTTGCTTTCACTGTAACGTAAAACATTAGAAAGTCTACATAAGCAATTTTCTGGTTGCTATATTGATATACAAACTTCTCCTGGGCTAAGAAAAATTAACGCTGTCTGCAATTGTTAAACATAAATACAAATAGTAATTGTGGGTTTATATTTTCAGGTTCGTGTTGACCTTGAGTTCTCTTTCCTGGATCAAAACAAGCAAGTCGTGGCATGTTTTGAAGTTAGTGGACAAGTGGTCGATTCATAAACTGGCTCCTTTTTTTTATTTTTACTTCTTTTAATAAAAATGCATTTTGCTCATTGATTTTTTTTTTCCCTTTAAACCTTAAAACACAACCATATTGTGTTTAACAGAAAAAAAAAATATATGAATATCTAGTAGGCTACACAAAGAAGAACATATACCTACTAAACATTTGTGGACTCGACAATTCTGCCATATGAAGCTGAAAGCATATGAAGTTTGACGTAGAGGCAATTCATAAAAAATTTACATTATGATCTCATTAGTACATGCATGTATTCATTTTCAAATATCCATTGACACTTTTATAGGTGATTGGGAATGTGGAAGGAAAGAGAATGTACAGAACATGTTCAATATGATCAAGTGTTTGTTTTTGGTCAATATGTGTGAAGGAGAAGTAAAAACCACTGGTAAATGTTACAAATTGAGTTTATATCAACATTATCATTCCTACAGCCTTCTACATTTTACAAATCACAGTTGACGCAAGCTTTCTGTCCCCATGAGAATTGTGGGCACCCAAGAGCATACATTACACATACATCATGCAATGTCCAACATGCAGCACAAAGTACAAACAGGGTGCGAAATTCTTGCTTCAGCACCAATTACACCAGTGCTTCTATTTCAAACAGTAGAGAAATTAAAATATCTTAAGTCTCTTCCTCAATACAAATTACTGTACAATGTTATTCAAAACCACATTTGATTTATTACTTTTCTCATATATACTGAGCATATTTGTAAATGTAATCATAAAAAAGGGTATCTTATGGATACCCTTATCTTAATCTTCATTCACACCCTGATGTACAAAGCTGAGACACTGCAAAACCATCATGTAAAACTTTTCATATTTATAAATTGTCATTATTATCTAAGAAGATTAATTTTATAATATTAACGTTAAAACTCACATCATCATTTTCCAAGTACTTATGATGTGCATTATAAATATAAACAAAAAGAAATATTTAAAATTAAAATTAGCACCTATATTATGACTGGAATACATAAGAGACACTGGAACTGAAATGTTAGATTAATCCATAAATACTCACAAAACATTAAATTCATTCTCATGTCATCCACAAATCAGAGCAGAAAAACTGACTATCAAATTTTCAAACTGGTTTATCTCCTACTTCATAATTGGTCCAGTCAGTAAGGCGATGCCTCTCCACATGATTTCTTCAGTATTTGATTGTATTTATGAAAAAGTCTCGAAAGAGAGGCATTCCTTAACTTTTCGGTAGCTATGATTAGTCATAACATGTCATAATGCAGAAAACTAACAGAATTTCTAATGTGATTGATGGTCAAAATCTGAAACATTGTAATGGTAGCTGTGCGCACACAGACTTTTTTTTCCTTTTTGTTAATACATATGCTTGTATTTTAGAAGTATACTTGTTCATCAGCATATAGCAACTATCTTCATTTGCAGTAATGCTTCAAGGAGCAGAGCTAATGTTCACAATGGCAACTGCTAGAAGAAAGTTAAAATGAGATCATACCTACATTGTTTGTTTTATTAGAAGTATATTCCGTATAAAACAAAGACCCCATAAAGCTGTGCTTGAAACTTTTATATCCAGCATGCTAGAGAAAACACTACCACATCTGAATTTCATGAAGTAACAATCAACACTAGAACAAAACACTGCAGTCCTTGGAGATATTCCTTGAGAAAGAATAAACCTCGTAGATGAGTAATCTAAGTATGTATACAGTAACATATATTCAGAGACTTCACATCACGCCAACTGTTGAATAAATCAGAACACTGAGTTCACAACAGGCAACACCAAACAACCCACAGGCTCCTCTATATGTGCCTCACTCAAGGGCAGAGCATGCATTTCAGTCTTTATAGAAGATCACCTGGACCCATATGTCAATTCAAGTGTATCTCATGCCCACAGCGTAAAAGACAAGAGTTATTTGGATTGAAAATTAACAGTGTTATATAGGAGCAACACAAAATTAAAATGTATTAAATGTATATTTATATATAATATTTGTTCTCTTGATAGTCTTCCTGCAATGTTCACAACATGAGAGAGCATGGAACATTTTCAGTTCACAAATGTAACTGTAAATTTAATATTTGTAGTGTATGTATACATGAGAATGAAATATATCTCTAAATACATTCTAAATGCAAATGCTGTATTCTCTCAGCAGAGAATTAGTCACATTGAAATGAGATTGCCAGAAACATCTCTTGCGCTGTAAATATTTGTACATAAGGACTGCAATAGTATATACAGGCAAAGGTGGGGATAGAATAGATAAGCTCAATGCTACAGTCAGAAGCAGCACCAGCAGTCAGCCCACCTTAATCAAAAAATTAAGTTCAGAAACACATGCCATAACAGCAAAGAATCCAGAAATATTGAAATGCAAGTCTTGAGCTACAACACTACGCTATGTTAAAGGAATCACACCCTAGTGCCAATATAACTCAGAAGAAAGAATCCTTCAGCTGTTCACCTGTCGACATTAACATCTGATAAAGACTAAGTTATTATACAATAATATGCTTATATGTAAATATTTCAAATAACAAACTACATATCTTTGGATATGTCAACTTCGCATTCACGTCCAGTAGCGAGAAAGCCCAACGAAAATTAAAGATATATGTATATACTGCAATCAGTCTGTAATGACTAGGTATTCAGCGCATTACTGGTACAAGAGCATGTTGAGATTCGATAAACCAACGAGTTTTTTTTTTTGTTGTTTAATTTTTTTAATATACATATCTGTCGTGCTCGTGTCCATGGCGAGGGGGGCACCTGGGCCCCCGCTCATGCGTCGTGGTGGTGCGGGCAGCTGCACCGTTGCAGATAGTAAGCCCGCCACACCATGCCCGGCCGGGGCCCGGTGGGGGGCAGCACTGGGGTCAGTGACCTCTCTCGCGCCAGCCTCACGAGGTCTTCGTCCACGAACCCCGCTGCGCCGCCTCCGGCCCCGAGTAACTCTTAGCTGGCGGCGGCGTCGATGACGGGCGCCGGCGCGGGCTTGTGCAGGATGCTGACCGCTCGGTGGTCGCCGTGCTCGGCGCCCGGGGTGGTGGGCGGACCCTTGCGCCGGCCCTGGCCCTGCCCGGGGCCCGGCGGGCCACCGCCGCCGCCGCCTCCACCCCCGCCGCCGCCACCGCCCTCGCGCCGCTTCGGTTGCGACTGTGTCGGGTCCGCGTCCGCCTGCAGCACCTCGGTGTACTCGCGGATCAGGTTGGCGATCTGGAACGCCTGCGGGCACACGCCAAACCGTCAGCGCTGCGCTCGACAACGGGGTCGTCCGCCAACACTGTGCTATGTGTTAAAAAGAATCTCACACTAGTTCCGATAAATCTCGGAACAAAGAAACCTTCAGCTGTTCACCTTTCGACATTAACTTCTGATAAAGACCAAGTTATTATTCATTAATATGCATACATGTAAATATTTCAAATAACTAACATCTATGGATAAGTCAACTTCGCATTCACGTTCAGTAGCGAGAAAAAACAACGAAAATTAAAGGTACTGTATGTGTATATACTGCAACCAGTCTGTAATGATTAGGTATTCAAAGTGTTACTGGTACAATGGGAATCTGGCACATGGGGTCATCTGTAAATTACATAATGCCAAAGAGAGGGACGGGGAGGGCGAGAGGGTTTGAGGCAGCATTACGCTGCGTTACATAGGGGTAGTGGTGGTAGCTAGGTGTTACATAACGTTGATATATTATTATTTTAAAGTTTTCAACATTTGCTGAAATAATTCATTTCATTCACTCCCATACTAAAGCATTAAAAAATTAAATGGAAAGTGTAAACAAATTAAAGAATTTGTGATTAACTGTTACAATAAATGGAAATTATTTTTATCAATCTTATATAGATTGAACTGTTAGATTACAAAGAAAATATTGAAAACCGATCTGTTGTAGGCTAATATTCTAGAATCCAATTAAATTTGCGCACACTCTCTCACACACGCATCATCCGCGACTGCAAGTCAGAAATTGTCCCGCCTAGGGATCTTTCCTTCACTCAAAAATTGACTCGAATTTTATGTTAGGTGCAGTCAGCATCACCAAGTAATTCTAACATAATTTATCATACATTTTAATATATAACACAAATAAAATTAATACAAATGGTTTTTGCTGTTATGTAATATATTTATTCATACTGTACATGGTAGTGGGGGGGGGGGTCACAAGTGTTTCATAATTATTTAGGGGGAGGGGTACAATCATGTGTTACAGGTGGGAAAGGGGGGTTATCAAAATACTCCAAATTTTTGTGATGTAATTTATGAATGGCCTCAATGCAAAAATTCACCACGTTAGTCGCTACACATAACGAGAGAATATAGGCATGTTGATAATAACAAAATTTTGTTATTTTCTGCCATCGCTATACTTTTTGATGGTTATTAAATTTTTGGGAAGTTGTTACTATTACTCTTGTGTTGCAAGTTCAAAGTTGATTTACATGCACTGAAATATTTACCTCTTAATGAACATTCATGAAATTTTTATCTTAAGGTTTGACATTTTCTAATTTTAAGAGTTCAATTTTTTTCTCTTTTTAGTTCAACTTTTAATTATGAATGAGAACATTAGTGAATTTTCAATCCTGTATATTAAGAAAGGTGATTAAACTGAAAACAGTTTGATATTAAATATTAAAAGTATTATTTTTTTTGTAGGATCAAACAAAACGTAAGCTTCAATAATCTACATTTGAAAAGAATATTGCAGATTATATATTGATGCCACAAAATAATCTCTCTTGAGTATTTAAGGTAATGTACCTAATAATTAGATCATTATCATCAAAATAAAGTATGGCAAAAGATCACCATGCCCCTACTTCTTTCTCCATCACACCGTCAAAAAATTTGTTAGCAAGTATGTCTTGCTGTAAATTTGCTATAAAAGTTCGAATATGTTGATTTCATGGTAAAGAACAAAATTAATCACTGTTATTTTAATTTGATTTTAAGAAGAATTATACTGTGAGTAAAACATTTTTGCTTACAAATAAATAGAAATTCATATTAACTTTAAATAACACTTGTCTACAAAATAAAACTTTTTTCGTGTAACAAGAACAAAACACACTGTCTCTTGAAGATAATTTGCCTCCCAATCCAGATAATTTCAGAATTTCTGTATCGACCTCAGTTTTCATGTGTTCTTCGTTTTTGTATATGGTATGTCTCCATATGCATTATATTTATCTAGCAAAATAACATGCTCTAATAACAACAGATCCAAATGTATACAGTAAAAAATAGAGCATTTATGTTAAGAAAAGTGAAGAAATATACCTAAAAATATTTCCTATGAAGTAAATAAACTTTCATTAACAGAATATACACTCTCCATTACGCATTCGACGAGATCCACCAGCGAACTAACAAAGGAGCATCGCATTCCAAAGGCGAAGAAAACTCGCACGCACCTGCGACGTGGTGAGTATCACTTTGCTTTGTTTCTTCTCGCTGCCCGTGATGATCATGAGGCAGTTGAGCGCGGGGCTGTAGCTGAGGATGCTATCGTACTCGTAGGTGCAGAGCGCGTTGCGCGAGCGGTGCTCCAGCAAGTGGAGCCCCATCTGGTCCACCGCCAGCCACAGCATGCGCGGCCAGTTGGATGTGAAGGATTGCTGCGCAAGGGGGAAACAAAAATAACGACTTCACGTGAGAAATTGAACGTTACACAACAACCTATCCTCAGGTTCCATCTCTTGACAAAAAATATGAACGTTACACAACAACACGATCCTCAGGTTCGATCTTTTGAACAAAAATATGAACGTTACACAACAACGATCCTCAGGTTTCATCTTTGAACAAAAATATGAACGTTTACACAACAACGACTCCTCAGGTTCCATCTTTTGAACAAAAATATGAAGTTACACAACAACCGATCCTCAGGTTCCATCTTTTGAACAAAATATGAACGTTTAACACAACAACCGATCCTCAGGTTCGATCTTTTTGACAAAAATATATTGAAACGTTACACAACAACCGATCCTCAGATTCGATCTTTTGAACAAAAACATGAGTATGAATTGGCTGAACACACTGAATCCCTTAGATTGTTTTATTAGGCAACCCGCTTGACGTTGATGCGTCACATTTTCCCTTGCGTTTGTTATACTCGTACCATACCAATATTGACAGCGACTCCGAGCAGGAGGTGGACAGAAGGAAGAAGGAAAGAAGAAGAATTAGGATTCTTACATGCATAGCGACATAGAGTGACCTCGTGGCCGACGGGAGTTTATGTCTCCAAAGGGGCCACAAAATATTTAAGTCAAGACTTAATATTAATTATAATATTATTCATTAATTACATTAATTTTTTGTACGAATGGCATCAGTTTCGCTGCTTTGAGCATGTCGTAGTGGTGCACGAGTGTGCAAAACGTTTCGAACGCCGTCCTCCTTTTGATTTTTAGTTATAAGTCTATATTAGTATATGTAACTGCAAGGTACTATCAAATGTTGAGGTCGGGCTTGTTCTGGGCAAAAAATTAAAGATGATAAAAAATAACCATGTTGACTCCTTAGTCTCTGAAACCTCCGGTTCAATGTTTTTTTATTATTTTTTTTTCAAATGAAAGATAACAACGTGTTCTTTAAAAAAATATCTTTACACATTTTTTGATATCTCATACCATTTTTGAGTTAGAGTGCAATTTATGGACATGTGAAATAAAAAGTTGCTCTGGAGTTATAAAAAGGGTCGTTTCAATCAAATTTTGGGAAAATGTTCCTTTTTTTTCAGTCTGATATCAAATTTAAATGAGTTTTAGAGTGTAACTACACAAATTAATATAAGGGACGGGAGTAGGAATGCTGGCTTTTTAAAATGACGTTAGTGTACTTTAGAGCACTACAATTAGTCGTTTGAGATAAGTGTATATCACTCAACAAATAAGGGACGATGTGCTACGGGTTTCGTTCCTTTTCCATCTGCTTCACCCTATGACGACGTCGGATTGGTTGTAGTGATTCCAGGCGCGTCAACTGGTAAAGGCATTAGTCACGTAAGTGTAGTGCATGTTTTTTCATCGTGAGGATGTGACGATCTTCCGGCGCTGGATAGCTAGACCCGGCGCCGACCTACCGAGGGCTTGCGGGGTTTTCCCCAATCAGGTGTCTCCTACTAGCGGGGCACCGCCCAGCCGGGACAAGCTCAATGTTTCCAAGTGGTCTTCCGGTATGCACGGTAAAGTAGTCCGTGTAGTTTGTGTGTGTGTGTGTGTGTGTGTGTGTGTGTGTGTGTGTTTGCGTAAGTAAGGGATGAGGATAGGAGAGTGAAGAGGTAGGAAACAGCGCGCGCGGTCCGTGGCCCGTTTGTTAGGGGACTGTTCCGGCATTCGCCTAGTGTTGACGAGAGAAACCACGGAAAACTACCGATCATAGCAGTCGGCCGCAAGAAGCGAGTCAAGTCCAGTCAGCGACTGAATTCGACCCAGCTACGTATCTAGCTAGTATCGACAAGCATGCCACCGTCGGGAGCGGAACCCTCGGACCTGACCGGACGCTCACCATGACGTCGAATATGGTGGCACGGTGCAGCGGCCAGCTCTGGATGAGGTTGAGGAAGGCCTTCTTGGCCTCGTCGGGGCCCATGCCGCGCAGGCTCTGGTGGTGCAGCGCCGCGCCCTCGTGCGGCAGGTTGGGCACGAAGCGCGGCGGCAGGCAGTGCGCGGCCACCCCGCGGTAGTCGTCCAGCGCGTCGCGCCGGTCGCCGAGCTCCAGCTGCGCCTGCAGCGCCGTCAGCATCACCTGCACCCACGCACACAGCACTCCCTCAATTTTTTCTCTTTTCTTTTTTTCTTTCACGCGAATCGGCTTTCACGGGGCCACGCGATAGGTGCATCGCACCGGGGCTCGGACTTGATTATCGGGGTAGCACAAGTCATTTTTTTGCCTATAAAGGTTCATTTCTACAACCCAGAATAGTTAGCCCTGGGGGATGGAATTAAATTATGATGATGAATGATGAAATAGACGCATACAACACAATCATGCCCGAGGCGGGACTCTGACCCGCGATCGTCTGGTCCGAGACGGTTACGGCACTACTCCGTGATCTCGGCCATCGGATCGGTCTAATTATTTTTATAATTATTTTCTCTAATACTTGTTATAAAACAATTCATAAACGTACATTTTCTGAAATCTGGCTTGCACGTGAAAAAAAAACAGTTTACAAATGTATGAAATCGGATGAGTCCTATTTTCGTCAAATAATTTTATGGGAGAAACCAATCAGCATTCCCAACGTGAGCAACGCAACTGGTGATAGACCGGCGAATGATAGAATTGCGCTATTTTAAAACAATTATATCTTCTTTTTGCGTACTCCAGACATACCAATAATAATATTAACAAGAATTTAAATACGTGCAAATCTTTTATCCACAGTAACCGCCTCTTTAGATATTTTTTTCCACAATATTTTCACATCTTACTTCTGTACCAATTACGTATTCTCATCGTAGTACAAAATATTACCCACGTATATCAGACCAAACAAATTCACGAAAAATTTGCCTCTGTACAACACACTTCTTTCACAATGTGTTTTATGCATTTTGATAAAACAATATTTTTAAAAAAATGGCAGTGTGCAATAGGGATATAGAAATACCACTCATGAAACTAATGTTAACAATAAGAATTATGGCTACAACGAATAATTTAAACTTCGCAAATTTGACATCCAATAATAATTGGAACGCAATTTCTCCAACTAATAAGAATGTAAGAGCAACTATGGCCTTCAGAATACACTCAGCTCATATTTACATCTCATTTCCACAAACCTGTAATATATCGATTAAGGACCACAAGTCAATCAATGACTAAGGAGAGTGAATGGCACGCGCTAGCGCCATTTGCATCTGTGGAAGTGACATAACGAGAAGGATATGCAATGAAACGAGCAGATAGATGGTTTTATGACTATACAGGATGAAACGACATTTTCTGAAGTATCTCTAAGAGCTCTTTTCTCAAATTTACGTAACCAGCGCAATTTGCTCTACATGTAACTGTACAATTGGCTTATACAACTAGCAATAATTTTATTTCTTCGGAAGATATTGAAAAATTAAAAGTATAAATAATTTATCAACCCCTAATTTACAGGCAAAATATAGAAAACATGGTCATCATTACATAAATTCATTTACCAAAAAATCCTTAGAAATTAAAACACCAGAGCACCAATAAATTGACCTCCAGATTGCACAAAAAATAAATTCAATGGCAAAAACGTTTTAAAAATGATTACTTTACTTTGTATGATCGATACCATCACCGAAGGAATTATTAGAATAAAACAATGTATTAGTGAAGTGCTTTTGCTTTTATACAGTGGTGAAGACAGTGCAATGGAAATACCTTGCTTGAATCAAAATTCTTTATCTTACTTGCTTCACATAAAACGAGGGTAAAGCTTCTGGGACAAGTACGTCGAGCACTGTAAAGTATTTTTCCACGTTCATCTTGAAAATGAAGAACTGCGAAAACGAAAGCACAAAATGAAGGTGAATATGGCACTTCAAGATCTTTACTATTCATGAGCACATATGATTGACAAGAAACTTCTTCCCTTCGTATCTCTTTCTCGGTGAGAGGTGGGTGCGGAGTCTGTGTGATGCTAAGTGTTGTATTATCAGAAAATAATTTTAGCAAGTTCATTAAATTAAATTTTTCAGGATGATATTTCCATTTTACAATACATAATTATAATCCAGATATTAAATGTTTAAATATCTATCCAAACATTGTACCAATGGAAACGTAAGTTCATTGAGCAATTATCTCATAACCTTTTTTCGTACTTTGAAGTTAATATTTGAAGAATATTTTTCATTTATAAATTATATCTTACCATTTTTAAACTGAAAATATTTTTGAAAAATACGCTGTTGGAAAAATGCCCAAAATTTATTAGGTATCAGCAATGTGTCTTAGAATCTACGACCATTATTCTTCTTCTTCATGTCTTCAATACATTCAGAATTAAACACAAATATATCTCAACCATCCAAATAATCTCAAAAGAAAAACTGCAGTATTTTGAAGTCTTCCCTTAGTTTTATTCACGCCATGAGCTCTTACCAACTTGGGAATAAATTTTAATGAATGTGCAACGGTGAAACGTGATGTAACTATACGACTCAGTTGGGGGTAATCTAGTACTTCAGAGTAGAAAACATTCAACAGACTTTGACACTGAATATGTGAAGCGCTGATTCTGAACTTCTTTAAGGAGCTTTGCATGGGTGGTTTTTATTTCTTTTTTGACTCATTTAAAACTTCGAAAACACACATGTCCGTCTCGTAAACCAACGTCTAGGATTTTGTGTCCACAGATTGTAAAAGGTAAATCTGAAGTTGTCAATTTGGAATAACAGCCACCTTCCTTCTAAGGAATGTTCGATTTTTTTATCAATAACAAGGGAAATGTTTGGTCTAAACAAATTAATCTCATAGTATATTGAACTAAATTGCTTAGTCACTTTGGAAGAACAAAATGCTTTATCATGTTTATAAAATTCCTGTTTAGTTTAATACATGTAGTCATATTTACTAATCGGAACGTAGTCGATGACCAAATGCATTTAGTGGTGATTACTAAACAAATCCTTGTGTTGACTAATGCATTTAGTAATATTTACTAAGCAAGTTGTGGTGGAAATTACGCGTTATACGAGACGCGTTACGTAACTGTAGTTACTTAACACTCAAGTAAATCTTAATAATTCAAAAAAGAGGAAGGGAATATTTTATTTCTATCACTTCAGCCATGTAATTAGCAACTGGGGTTCCTGGAGGCACCCAGCCAAGGGCTCCGTACTTCCTTAACTTCGGATAACTGACAAACCCTAGCCAAGCAGAGCTGGCTACCGAATGTTATTTTCACCATTAGTGTAGAATACAACTTATAGTTATTTAAAATGAATAAAATACTAAACACAGCTTACAATACTATACACATTATTTGTGATCGTTCACACGAGCGCTAAAAATCATTCGAAATGGTCAATTTCTGAGAACGCGCTTAGTAAACAGTGGTAAGTGTGACGACATAAAACTTAGACATGACCAAATGGTTTTATCTACGAAACAAATATAGTACCACTAATAATTATCTGTGCACATTAACTTACGGTTTTGGATTGAATGATTTACTAAACGAAACTAGGTAATGTTCAGTGAATCTTACAAAGCGAATAATTAGATTTATTATCAAATCGCAAACGTGTTCGAAACATTGCACTGCAACATTTTTCTCAGTGAAGAAGCAAAATATTGTTGGAATCAAAAAAAGATTTTGTTGGGGAAAAAAGAAGGTGAGTGGTAAGGGACGGGGGAGGGGAGTGGTAAGGGACGGGGGAGGGGAGTGGTAAGGACGGGGGAGGGGGAGTGGTAAGGGACGGTGGGGACGGGGAGTGGTAAGGGAACGGATGACGTGGGGAGGGGAGTGGTAAGGGACGGGGGAGGGGAGTGGAAGGGACGGGGGAGGGGAGTGGTAAGGGACGGGGGAGGGGAGTGGTAAAGGGACGGGGGAGGGGAGTGGTAAGGGACGGGGGAGGGGAGTGGTAAGGGACGGGGGAGGGGAGTGTAAGGGACGGGGGAGGGGAGTGGTTAAGGGACGGGGGAGGGGATGTAAGGACGGGGGAGGGGAGTGGTAAGGGACGGGGGAGGGGAGTGGTAAGGGACGGGGGAGGGGGTGGTAAGGACGGGGAGGGGAGTGGTATTGAAAGGGGAGGGGGGGGAACGCCGCACTCACCGCCTCCTCTTCCGTGATGGGGAACCTGTCGGCGCGCAGGCTGTGCAGCACTTGGTGGTAGAGCAGCTCCTTCTCACGGGGTCGTCCAGGTCCATGTACTCGTCCAGGAACAGGTGCTTCTTGAAGAGGAAGAGGTGGTGCTGGCGCCGCGCTGCGTTCTTGCTAGCGGCGGCGGCAGCGGCGGCCGCCGCCGCCGAGGCGCTCGCCCCGCCGGGACGCCGCCCGGGCCCGCAGGCGCGCCGCGCCGCCCGCGCCCCGCCGCCCGCAACGCCCGCCGCCGCCGCCGCCACCGCCCACCGCCGCCGCCGCGGCCGCCGCCTGCGCGTTGGCCGTGCGGTAGCGCTCCCACTTGCTCATCACGTCCGCCACCTTCTCTTCGGGCACCAGGCTGCGCTCCGAGTTGCCCAGCACTTCGTAGATGGCATACCCTGCGGAGCAGAGACGCGTCAACAGAGGGTTCCTTTTATCTCGCATTTCTGTGCTAACTGAATTTTCACGTCTTTAAACATTGTTTTTAGGATATTATTTCGTTCGAGAACATGCACTGAAGAAATTTAATATTAAACCTATTTTTTCATCGAAATATGGCAAATGTGAGCGCTCCCTACATCCTCGAATTTGCAAGTTTAATTACCAACTAAACGCGCGTGTGCTTGTAGATGTGCATGTTTGCGATTTTATTCAAAACTATTAATTCTGGATAACAAAAAAAAAAAAAATTAAAAACACCCCCGTTGAAATTTAACAATTGAAGAAATCGTTTAAGACAAAATGTTCTTGTTTCTGCGATCCGAATTTGTCGTAATTAAGAAAAATAACATTAAATATTTTATACATAACACAATACATGAAGCAACGTATCGATTACCATTTTACAATGAAATTACAAAACCTATGGTTTCTCATACCCCTATATAAGAAAGCAAAACATCTATTCATAAGAAGAACACTCGCACGAAATCATATCTTTTTAAATGTGCTTTCAAGAGCTTTAAAAAGCATACTCCAAATCATTTAAGTTGCCTATTACGTAATGATTCCAAATTATTAACATCTGGTTACTATATTTTTATAATTCGAGTTTTGATTGCCAGAAAAATGGATGATGGGAGCAGGGTCGGATTGAAGTGCTGCCAGCCCTTCAAGCACAAAATCGAATTGTGGCCCCTCGGGGGAACAAATCCTTCAGATTTAATAAACACTAATTATAATCCGAATAAATTGTTTGTACAAACAATATAAAAATTAACAAATTGCTGATGGAAATGAACAATAATTTTACCTACAAACATTTAATAATTTTTTTTTTAATTTTTAACTTTTTTCGGGGCGAGGGATCCCATTGATGGGGGATTGATGGGGGCCTATAAACAGCCGCTTATTTCGCTTGGAGGAAAAATCGCATCCCCGCTTGCTTGATCGTTATAAATTCTGGGCGCGTCAACTACTAAGGTAGTTAGTCCCGTAAGTGTAGTGCATTTTTGGTCGGAGAAGAGGACGGTGGACTAACCCCCGCTGAATGGCTAGTGGAATTTTCCCCAACTACGTATTATCTCACCCTCAAGGCACCGCCCCAGCCGGGAGAAACTATCAACCGATCTCCCAGCATATGTGGTAGTGTACTCGTAGTGCATGTAAGTGTAAGTGGGAGTAAGGAATAAAGATAGGACAAGAAAGAGGGAGGGAAGATCACGGCCCGTCCGTGGCCAGGTTGTGAGGCGGTCCAGCATTCGCCTGGTATTGATTGGAAAAACCACGGAGAACTACCGATCAGTGCAAAACGCTAGAATTATCAGAGCAGCCGCTCGCTAGAATTCTCCTCCAGACAGCTGCTGAATTCGACCTGACAAGCTAGTGTCGAAAATCCTGCCACCGTCGGGTCTCGAACCCTAGGTCCTCCGCGTCAGAGGCACCGCAGCGACATCAGATGACGCCCTGAGCCATCTCTCCCGACCCGGCCCCGCCTGCGCGCTGCACCCACCTTGCGCCGTCTCGCGCAGGCCGATCTTGTTCTTGACGATCTCCATGACGTCGCGCGCCGTGGCCGACGGGTGGAACTCGACGGCGTGGTACTGGCCGTCCATGAAGTGGAAGCGCGCGTAGATGGGCCGCCGGTTGATGGTGCACATGATCTCCTCGCGCGACGGCGGCCACTGGCGCCGCCGCGTGCCTTGCGTCTTGTGGAAGCACTGCCGACAACACCGCCCAACGCGTCAACCCACCGCGCCACGCATCGCGCCCACCAAAACAGACAGGTTGAATGTCTACCAGTTGTCAGTCTTCGAATCTACCAGATGTACAGAATCTCGTTTTTTTTTAGAAAGTCAGGCACGGATCCTCGAGGAGGGAAATTTCCTCCTCAGCAACTTTTCGGTATATATTAATTTCAATTTGTCCCGAAACTTTCAAGCAAGAATATTTTAGGATAATCATTAAAACGAATAAAATCGTATCGCAGCCTGAGCTGAGTGTAGCCAGCCTGCGACATTTTGGAAAATATTTAATATGACCCCTTCGACCAAAACATTTGAATTTCCCCTTCCAAAATTTGCCTCCGGATCCGCCCCTGGCAAATTCAATGTTATACTTAAAAAAACAGTGTTATCATGGCTAACACTTTATATTATTTAATTTGTGGACACTTTGATTCGATTTCTTGGGATCTTTTTCAAAACCTTACGTAAGAATCTAATTTCTTGTAAGATGTAATGGTATAATCTTTTTTCTTAAAAAAAAGTTTTAGCATGACAAACACTATTTTATTTTTTTACACTTGGAACCTTAGACTCTTCGATCCGATTCCTTGGGATATTTTCTTAAAACCCTTCCTGAAAATTTATTTTAGATTTAAGATTATTTTTGAGATGATTTTTTTAACGAAACAGTTTTAGCACGACCAACACTATTTTATTTAATATTTTGGCACTTCGATCCAATTCCTTGAATTTTCTTAAAAAATATAACCTATCTTCATTACAAATGTAATGGTATACCCTTTTTTTAAAAAAACTCACAGTTTTAGCATCACAGACCCTACATTAGTTCCTTTTCATTATTAACACCAACATTATGCACGACAATTTTCTTTACGAGAAATTGTTCATAAAATATCATATTTTGGCACATTCTAAAGTATTTGCCGTTTATGGCACGTATAAATGTGTCGTCGCACATTCAGTCAATCGCAGGAAGATAATCGTAGAGAGATAGCGATAAACCAAACAGCCAAACGTTTTTCCCCGCACAGATGTCGAATATCCCGCGCCGTCACAAATTTGTTTCCAAAAATTATCTTTGATTCCCTTACGAACTTATAATGCTGTTGACCAAGAAAAAATACGTGCACCTCGTTTATCATGTAGCTTCATTACATTCGTATAAATTTCAAAACTCGCTCGTAACGTCTTCTACTCGCAATACAAAACTGTCACTTTCATAAATTGTAACATAATTAATAATTTATATATTACTATACATTTATATATTTATAATATATATTATATTATATAAAATATTATTATATATTTATAATATATATTATTTAGATATTAATTTAATTTTAAACTGCAAATATTAAATGTTATGATATTTTCGAACTAGTGATGCGACATCGATAACAAAACATCTATTTCAAAATTGAAACATCGACGTTAAAAATACATCGACGAAAAACCATCTATTTTTTAGACTAGATTAGTATCCCCTAACGTTAAATTCGTGTACAATAAAATTTAATTTGACAGTGTTACTGTTCATGAATTCGCCGAATAACGGTATGATAAGAAGGTGCCGATCCTACGCCCACAGCGTACTCGTTGGCCATTTCTCAATGTGCAAAATGAATATGAAGAGGAAATACAATGGTATAGACATCATCTCGGACTACAGAGTTTGGTCGTTGTAGGCAACGCAATCACCATTCCTTTGGCCCCAACACACGAATAACAGGGTTACTATCAGTTATTTCATATTTTAACATTTACAGCATTGTGGTCATGGGCATTTTTCATTCAAAATCAAAACATCGGAAAAGAAACAAATATCGATCACAAAACATCGCTTTTGGTGTTAATACAACGATGTTTATAACGTAGATGTTTTGAAAACATCGACATGGATCTCGCATCCCTACTTCGAACGCGTGTGTTTATTATTTGAACGCCGCTCACCTTCTCCGCGAAGCGCGCGTACTTGCCCTCCTCGGTGACGCAGTCGGAGGCGCAGCGCTTGAGGTGCGCCACGAGGTACTTGCGCACCAGCTTGTTGGGCGGCAGGATGACGGAGCAGGCGAGCGACAGCAGCGCCCAGTGGCGCAGGTTGACCCGCGAGTTGGGGTCCGGGTGGTCCGTCGTCTGCTTCACCAGCTGCAGGTAGAGCTCGTTGAGCAGCGCCTCCTTGCGCATGCAGCGCTCCATCACCACCTGCATCTGGCGCACGTGCTCGTCCTCCACGCTGCGCACCGCGTCGCCTGCAACGCACGGCAGAGATCAGACACAGCCCCAACGCACCAGCCCAAGAGCCTCAGCCAACCCCGCACTGCTCCAGCCCCAGCCCCAGCGAAGCCGCCGCAGCCCAGCCGCGACAGGCCGCAGGCCAGGCAGGCGGCAGGCCAGGCCCAGGCCCAGGCCAGGCCCAGGCAGGCTCAGGCCCAGGCCCAGGCCAGGCAGGCAGGCCAGGCCAGGCCCAGGCCAGGCCCCAGGCTGCCAGGCGCAGGCCTCAGGCCCAGGCCAGGCCAGGCCCAGGCCCAGGCCCAGGCCAGGCCGCGCCGGCAGGCCAGGCCAGGCCGGCCCAGGCTCAGGCGCAGGCCCAAGGCCCGGCCCAGGCCAGGCCAGGCCAGGCCCAGGCGCCAGGCCCAGGCCCAGGCCCAGGCCAGGCCAGGCGGCAGGCGCAGGCCAGGCCAGCCGCAGGCCAGGCCAGCCAGGGGCAGGCCCAGGCAGGCCAGGGCCGGCCAGGCGCAGGCCAGGTGCCAGGCCAGGCGGCAGGCCAGGCCGGCCAGCCAGGCAGCCGCAGGGCCAGGCAGGCCCAGGCCAGGCCCAGGCGGCAGGCCCAGCCCAGCCAGCCCAGCCGCAAGCAGCAGCCAGGCCCAGGCCCAGGCAGGCCCAGGCCAGGCCGGCAGGCCAGGCCAGGCCAGGCAGGCAGGCAGGCCAGGCCCAGGCAGCAGGCAGGCGCAGGACCAGGCAGGCCAGGCCAGGCCCAGGCCCAGGCCGCCAGGCCAGGCCCGGCCAGGCAGGCCAGGCCAGGCCAGGCCAGCCCCAGCCCCAGCCCCAGCCAAGCCACTGCCCAGCCCACCAGCCCAGCCCAGCCAGCCGCCCAGCCAGGGCCAGCCGAGGCCCAGCCGCAGCCCCTCAGCAGCAGGCCAGGCCCATGCCAGGCCCAGGCCAGCCAGTCCAGCCCAGGCCCAGCCAGCCCAGCGCCAAGGCCAGCCAGCCCAGGCCCAGCCCGCCCCAGCCACCCAGCCAGGCCAGCCAGCCCAGCCCCAGCCAGCCAGGCAGCCCACAGCCCAGCCCAGCACGGCCCAGCCCAGCCCAGCCCAGCCCAGCCGGCAGCCAGCAGCCGGCCACCAGCCAGGCCCAGCCACCAGGCCCAGCCAGCCCAGGCCCAGCACCCAGGCCCAAGCCCCAGCCAGCGCCAGCCCCAGGCGAGCCAGGCTCAGCCCCAAGCCCCAGCCCAGCCAGCCCACCCAGCCACCAGTCCCTCAGCCCAAGGCAGCCAGCACCAGCCCCAGCCCAGCCAGCCAGGCCAGCCAGCCCAGCCCCAGCCAGCCAGCCCCCAGCCCAGCCCCACCCCAGCCCAGCCCCAGCCCGCAGCCCAGCCAGCCCCAGCCCCCCAGTCCCGCCTGCGTAGCTCCAGCCACCCCAACCCCCAGCTCAAATTTTGGCCCCAGGGCCAGATGCTCAGGGTCAGTCCTTAGCGGGCTGCCGCTCGCTCCACTCACACACAGAGTGGCCAGAAAAAAATTAATTGATCCAATTGTTTTCCGGACGGATTCGTCTGCTTTTGATGGTCTTATTGATTATTTTCGAACGCGTCAACCTCGAAGTCGTTAGTTCCGGAAGTGTATGTGTATGTTTTATCGCGGGCGGTGTCGGTGATCTTCCTATACTGTCTGGTGAGACTTGTGCTGACCTATTCGTCGACTTGCGGGAATTTTCCTAACCTAGTATTTCCCAGCAGCGGGGTATCGCGCCATCCGGGATAAGCTCTAAGCTCCCAAAAAGTGTAGCAGTGTAGGGCATGTAAATGCGAGTTGAAAATGTATGAAGTAACAGGTGAGAATAGGGAAAGGAAGAGGAAGAGGAAGATGAACAGAGGAGAGGAGAGAGCATGCGGATTATGGCTCTTTTTTAGGGTGCTGCTCCGGCATTCGGCTGGGGTTGGCGGAGAAACCACAAAAATATACGATTAGAGCAGCCGACTGCTAGAATTCTCCTCCAGGCAGCAACTGAATTCAACCTAGCTATAACTCGTTTCGAAAATCCTGCCGTCGTCGGGGAGGATCGTCGCCTAGGATCTCCCTATCAGAGGCACTGCAAGGACACCAACTAATGCCCTGAGCAATTTAAGCCGGTCTGCAACTGTGCCACGAATCATAAACACCACCGCCGCCGCCGCTGATGTCTGCCGCAGTTGCAGACAAAATGTCGCAAAGCAGGACTTCAAGTGGACCACAATCTATGCGCCCGGAAAAACAATTTCATTATTGACGCCGACCGTCAATGCCTACATTGTTTCATCAACTTTTAACTCCTCTCATGGTATCCATGCTTCGAAATCATGATGTTGTAATTTATTATACGTATCTGTCTCATAAGGCTGTCAGAAGTTCAACAAATGAGCGAGACGGAGGAAACGGTGTCACTGGATGCCGCGAAATAAAAATGCCCATGTACTAAATCAGATATTTTATAAGAAACCTTTAAATATTAAGTAATGCACAAGCTCAACGTAATTATTAAAGTGAATAATAAAATTGCTTTCTTTCATACTTCTTGACTACGCAAAGCATTCAGGAACGCAATACAATTTAGGCGATGGGCTGTAATTAATCACGGAGCGAACGTATTCCGCGAAATCAAACTGGGAGAAGTGCGATCGGGATATAGTTCCCTGAAAACGAAACTTTTAATCGCCCAATTTCAATTTTGTTTTATGTGGTCATATCAAAATTTACAAAATGAACCGTGCTGAATTTTAAACATCGAAAATGTATTATCCCGTCTAAAAAACCTTTAATTATCGAGGAAAGTTAATTGACCGCACAATTATGTACAATTATTTGTGGATGGTTACATCCGGAACACAGCATTTTTTTATCCTTTTCCCGCTTCCATTACTTAATGAAGGTTAAAATACTATTTCTATGGAATATACACATGGAGCCCTCTCACTACATTTTAATAGGCATCCCGAACATGCTCTTGAAGATGTTTCTTCAAACTCTCTAAAAGCGATCAAAGCGTCTCCAATACCAATCATGTTGGATCAAAGTTTCGTATACACTCGTGTACCTTAACCGTGTATGTACAGGTTATTTCTTAACTGATCATTAAAATTCATGAACTGTAACACTCTGAGACCTCCACAACATTTAACGATTAAAAAGTTTTTGGATTTGCAAGAAATTGTATGAGAGATTCTATATAATTTAAGTTTTTAAGAACTTACGAATCACTGATTTTTTTAATTATGGCCTAGCCTTTCAGAAAACTTTCTCGAGTCTCATCAAATCCCCATTTCTTTTACAAAATAATATAAAATTAACGACTACCAATCTCACCAAAATAAAAGAAAGTCTTCATACATTTTCTAAAATATAATTTGGGCTCCACAAAAAGAGACTTTTTGAAAATTAACTACTCAGTTTTAGAACATTATGACGAAAAGGATAACGAAAACAGACTGTTTTCCATATTTTGTGAAACAGAGTTTCATATTTTATTAGCATTACCTAATAAATTGAGTTAGAGTATTAAAGAAAATAAGTACAGTAATTTTCGAGGTCTTCTGCTCTTCGTCAAAAAATTGTTACGAAGTACTATTATTGATCTTCATTGTTAGTTTTCGACGACTGTTTATTAATCATTTATTTTTAAGTCTTGACCCAATTGTCTTTTATATGACCAAGATACTCGAAATAATTAAGTTCATCAACAATGAACATCCGATCGAAGTCAGCGACGTAGAAGGCTAAAATAATAGAGTTCCGTTAATATGTACGCGCCAATAATTACGCGCTTATAATGATCACAAAACTACAGAAGAAAATGTTTGCTGAATAATAGTTATTTATCATGCAGGAGGCTAAAAGAGATTATGTGCAGGTTTGTTGACTTCATGAGCGCGGCGGCGCAAATGTTTTACTACTAACGAGCACAAAATGATCGTTTAGCCAAGTGAACGGGATATCGTACTCGATCGCCTTTGTAACATTTAGACATTTTCTGTTTACCTATATGATAACTGATATTATATGGACTTCGGCAGCACACTTTGCTATATTGGTTATAATAAAAATCATTTTACCTACTGCACAAAATTTAATTATATTGGATATAATTAGGAGGCATTTTATTCACTCCGAACACTCGTATAGAGAGACGATCAGTTAAGATAAATCTTTACTAATAAAAGTGAATCGAACGACAAGTAACCGACATAGATACCACAAAAAGAAATGTCTGAATACATACATTTTCACAGGCATTTTTCAAGGAATGTCACACTTTTCTTGCAAAATTTGGTAATGTTTAATACAACACAAATGCGGAAAATAAATAATGTAAATAATATGTTGGAAGATGCACCATCATTTTTCGCCTGTCGCTAAGAGCAGTCTGGTTCCTAAAATATTTCATCAGTTGCAGCAAAACTAGTAAGTAATAGTTCGCTAAATACCAGTAGAAGTGCGTCACATTAACATTTTAAATCGAATAGCAATTTATTGTTAAACAAAAAGAAAATTATAGCATCTTTTTGACATTCGCATTTTTTGACAATTACATTAAAAATAATAGTCTTAAATAGTCTGCATAAAGTGGTCTGCATAAAATTTATCCTTTATCTCTTTCACAAGAATCGGATATGAAGAAAGAAAGCCCGGGAAACGGCGGGTATTTCGCTAGCATTCTGATAAGATGCCAATCCCAGTGATTGGGAGGGGGCCTTGCTCACCGTTCTGGCCGAGGCCGGCGTAGGTGAGGATGAGCTGGAACACCTGCAGCGCCGCCTGCTCCTCGGGCTCCGGCAGGCGGCTGAGGCTCTGCGGCACGGGCTGGCGGCTGAAGGCCCAGAAGGCGTACGGGAAGCCCTTGTAGGTCTCGCCGTGCTCCGGCGACGCGCCGTGCTCCTGGCGCAGCTTCTCCAGCCGGTGCTTGCTCAACCTGCGCACCGCCAACGCTCCCCTCGCATCCTCTCTCGCCACGCAACTCGCTCACGGGGGGGGGGGGATTTAATAAAGGAAAGCGAAGACTTAAAAATTGTATCCGCAATTACGGGAAACCGGAAATTTTTTTTTTGAGAACGAAAGAATTCAACTCAGTTAATCGAAACTGTTTTGTTGAAAAATAAAGATATCTTTAAATTTAAAAAAAATATATTTAGAATTTTCTATAAGGGAATACCGAACTATATTACAGTAAGTAAAATAGGTTGTTGGTATTTTATTTTTCATAAAGCTCCATAATTTTCGCTTTAAACTGCCGTTTGAATGAAGTTTATACGACTCTTACAAGTATTTTATTTTATTATTATATGTGAAGTCTTATGCGTTGTAATATATGTAAGTCTTAGGCTTTGATGATGGTTCCAATACTTTGAAATACTCTTACATAACTGCGCGCATCATGTATCCAAAACAATCCAAATCATCATAAACTGTAAATTATTCATATGTAATTTATATGAAAATATCCATCATGAATAAAGGAGCGGCGAAGGCCGCGTTCTGGAATAAAATTATTCTAATACCAGCAAACACGAGGAGCAACTGCATCACAAATACAAGGGTCAGTCTTTGTTAATGGTTGCGAGTTCTAAAAGAACCTTGTAGGTAATTAAAGATATCCAACGTATCGAATGCACAACAGCAACACAAGGTTACCAGAAATCTGTGGTCACTGGGTAAAAGTTCTTACGTTAAATTTTTGGTGAAATCGGGTTAAATACTGAAGCTACAATCTAAGTATCTATATTTTGTTTTAGAAGCATGACTGAATGCAAATATTGCATCCTTGAAGACAAAAAAGTGTATAGTTAAGAGTAAATTCTTTTCTGCTGTACAACCGTTTCTATACAATTAGAGACTATACTGATTATCAAAAAGAAAAATAATGTTTATTTTAACAAGCCGTGATATATAATGAATTAGTTTACATTTGTATTGTATAATTTTTTAAAAGACTTAACATGTTTGTAACAAATAATATACTTCAGCTTCCGGGTCAATGACCCCTATCTCGATCAGGTTTTTGTCCAGTTTCCCTTATCCATTGAGCAAATGCTGAGATGGCCCCTTGTTTTGCTTCTGGACGTAAACGTAGCTTCACTATGCTCACGTTTTGTTGAACTCTCCTTTTGCTTGTAATGGGTAAGAGTAGAGGTAAGGGCGAGTTGCTATTTTGTTAGCAATGCAGAAAAATCGTACTTGCAATTCGTGTACCAATGCAAATAAGTTTTCTGTAACTCAGAGACGAAAATTACTATTTTTCAAATACTGCTAATCTTGCGATTTTTAAAATTCACTTTTATTTATTTATGTTAAACTTTTACTTATCTTTCAACTATTGATAGTTAAATGATGGGAAGGGATTCTGGAACTCAAGAAAACGTGTGCAGATAATCTTTTCCCCCCTACGTCACATACAGTTTTTACCGTTTAGTTGACTGAATAAATCTAAATCTAAAAGCGTTGTGAATTATAGCTCGGCGTTGGAAAATATAGACGACTCAATACTCTAACCCTTGTTTTCTCCAAACTAAGATTTTTGATTTAAGAACTTTGACGCCGTGACCACAGAATTTGCTGATTTTTTTTTAATCGGTCAAGAACATTCCGAAAAGGACATTCTGCACCACGCAGTGCGTGGATGGCTCACCTGCGCAGCGTGTTGCGCAGAAAGCCGCCGCCTGTGTCTTGAGGCTTGCGCAGCAGGTCGCTGTCCACCAGCGAGCGCCGGCAGTTTATGAGGTTCGAGTACAGCCTGATGCGGTCCTCGTTTGTGATCGCCTTCACCTGCGGGCAACCACGCCTCCATAGATAGCCGCTCTCATTCATTTGCTCACTTGCAATCATATAGACTACTGCAAATTTAGTCATGAATGCAAAAACCTTGTTCTTCGAGAATTTCTAATATTAGGTTAATAATAAATACGATTGTAAAACTTGGTATCACAAGGTGTAGCACATTTTAATGATTTACGTTAAATTCTGTAAAAACAATGCATTAAAATATCATATCCAAATGATTTACTGAGAAGTACCAAATCAACATATGCATCTTGAAATAATATTTTGATAGAATTCATTTTTAGAATGAAAACAATAATAAATAATTTGCAAAATAATGCTCAACTTTGGAAATTTTATTTCATTTAAGCGTGTATTATTGAGGAAAGGCATTTCCATTAGCCTACCACTCAAACTTCGTGTCTTCTATATTCCTGCAAAAGCTTAAAAATCTGTGATCGAATATCTTATGCCTTTATCCACTTCACCAGTTTTCCACTTTGTCACCAGTGTTTCTTTCAGGGGATTCATAGTTTTAATAGTTCAATTTTAAGCACTAGTGCGAAAAGCGAGGAGACGTTGAAGTGACCAGAAAAATCTAAATACAACAAAAAAAGCGACCTTCGTCTGACAAACAACTACTTTCGAGCATAATGTATCGTTAAGCGATTGTGTATTTGAATTTAAAAAATAAAAGTCAGTAAGGGTGTTTCAAATAGTGCATGACACGTGGTGAAAGTGATTTAATTTTGTCCGTAGGATTGCGTCACTCGACCTATCTGCATCATGTCGAAACCTGCTCAGAGTCCTGACTTGAATCCTCTAGAATACCTTTGGGAGGTTTTGAAACGCCGACTTCGTGCCAGGCCTCACCGACCTACATTAATACCACTCCTTGGTGCAGCACTCCGTGAAGAATGATCTGCCATTCCCCTCCAGCACCTGATTGAAAACATGCCTGAGAGAGTCGAAGCTGTCGTCAAGGCTAAGGATGGGCCAACACCCTATTGAATATTATGATACTATTGAATATGGCGACCGAAACGTTTGGCAGCTGTGCCCTGGACGCAGTGTCTTCCATATAGCCAAGTAAGTACAGACTACGGCCGCGGAAGCCTACTCTCACACTAATGAATTCCATCATTACCGATGGAGGGCACCGCCAACTGGTAAATCATTTTCAGCCACGGATCCGGACACTTATGATCACATAGTGTAACTATTAACTGCAACAGTGTGTAAAAGGGTCGTCGGGTGGGGGACGGTGTCCAGGAGTAGAAAGCCGCTACCTTTCGCACGGGCGCCTCGCTCTCCGTGATCCAGCCGGCCAGCGCGGGGCAGTAGCTGACGATGAGCGACCCGATCTCGTTCTTTTGCGGCGTCTCGAAAACGAAGCACTTGTGGCTGTTGTCCGGCTGCTGGCGCATCAGGTTCACCGTGATGAACGAGTCGCTGGGATCCAAGAAAATCGACTCCACGTCCTGGTATCTGTATTCGTACAACACGAACTTGTCGTCAGGCTTGATTAGCATCAGTCCGTCGCAGTTGACGCCCAAAATGAGGCTGTTACCTGAAAAGAAAAAAAATGCTTTAGGAATCGGGTATATTATTTTAAGGCATCAGAAATAGGCACAAGCCTAGACCCTATAATTTATTTCTTAATGCTCAATATTGACTATGAAACAACAAGCAGTACAAGTTCATCAATAAACATTCTATAAATCATTTCAAATGAATCAGTTCTTGAATCTTATAATTAAACAAGCACACACACACACACACACACACACAAAAGTTATGTGACCAAACGACTTGACACATGTTTCTCTATGTATCGCTAAATCTGAATCTGAAGCCAGAATTGTACGGCCACTTTCAATTTTGTTTAAATCGCGAAAAATCACCGTGAAATTGTAGCTTGTAAATTTGAGGTTTTTTTTTCGATTAAAAACAACTAGAGGGTGGTGGCGCAATCCTGGCTTATATTTCGGATTCACCGCATTGACATACATTGAGAAACGTGTGTCACGTCTTCAGGTCTGACAACAATCATCGAAAACAAAAAAAAATACAATGTTACGATTTAAAAAATTGGAGGGTAATGGCGCAATTCCGGTTTCAGAAATTGCGCGTTGAAATATATAGATAAACATGTGTCAAGTCTTTGGGTCTGACAACTTTTCTTGTGTGTGTCTGTGTTATTGAATCGTTTGGCCCGAATATTCAGAGAGATGGCACAATAGTTCATGACAAATTTTATAACAATACAAGAATGATATTATTAGTTATTACTTAAAAATAAATATAAAAACTAAGATGCATTACAAATTTTCAAATAGTAAAATCGCAAAATATTATTTCATTATAAAAGTTCCAAAAGGATGGCGCATTACTTCCCCGGGCAGTCAGTATTGAACATGAACATTGTAACTCCTGTTCTTACCTCTTGGTCTTGTTAACATGACTGTCTTTCACTGAAACGCTCGAAGAATGCTAAATATACGTGAATGGCACGTATGACGGCGCTTACCGTACGACCAGTAGCCGCGGTAGGTCACGTGGAACATGGTGGTGCCGTAGAGCGGGTACTGCATCACGCAGGAGAGGTAGAGCACCTTGGCCGCCAATTCGCTGCGGCTGGCGCCGTACTGGCGATGCGCTTGCGAGATGATGGGCACCTGCGGACCAGTCATTTGCCTCGTTCAATAAAAAAACCACACTATAGTGTCAATGAAATGGTTTGAAGACAAAAAGTTTGCTCAAAGAGTGTTTTATTATTGTCTTTAAAACTAATTAAAATTTTAAAAAGATAACTTGATTTGCAACACGTGTTTTTCAGAACGATAATGGCAGCTTGTCAGCTCTGACACAATGGCTATTCGTATAAAATAATATTACAGTGCTCATGCCAATGGAAAATATTAAAATAAAAGTTCGTAATCGAGTAAATTCCAAATTAGATGTCCGCTTGTTCTACACACTTACCATTACAATAATAATAATATTTTTCTCGAGGAAAAATATTTTTCATACGTCTGCAGATTACAATAGCTTGATTTATGTAGCGTATAAAGATTCATCTTAATTTGACACTGAATTATATAATTAGTTTTGAATCTTAGTTATTTACTAATTTATAGGATTTATATTTTTCAGATACATTCACTGAGTGACTCATAACATTAATTTGTGATAAACTGTTTTTACAATGGATCCCACTAAAAAGTATATTCCCCTGTACAGGAATTGACCTTGTTGCTACTTACAAATGTTTTTCAACGATAATTGAAGTATAAAATAAAAGTATCAAAATTCAAATTTCACGACAGTTTCAAATTTCAATAAATCTTTTATTTGCAACGTCAGCTCATTTATTGTGATTTTTCACCTTAAAGGAAAGTTTTCTTCACTATCCATTTCATGAGCAAACGCGATGTTAGCGCAGGGCCGTTTCACATACAGCCGCCAACAAGCGCCATGGCGTGATAGTGTATTTGTGGGTCACGTCCGAGTGGTCTAGTGTGAAGGCTGGCAGTGTAGCGCGGCACGTAAACGTGTCTACATGCTGGATGCATGAGTGAGCCACTAACTGCGATAGTAGCGCCACTATCTACCATAAACAGCGCTACTGCGATGTTCGTGTGAAAACATCCATTTAAACCAATGCTTTACCATCAGCAGCGCTACCCAGAAGCGCTGTTGAGTGGCTCCGTGTTTTGTTCTAAGTGTTGTACTCACCCACTGCTCGTCCAGGCGCGTGCGGCTGATGCGCGCCGGCAAGTAGCTGTCGACGTCGGTGTAGAAGTCGAGGCGGTTGTTGTCCTTTGGGTCCCCTAACGCCACCTGCGCCTGCAGCCCCGCCAGCTGCAGCGCCACCTTCTCGCTCACCGGGAAGTCATCGCACTACGCACATTCACCGGGTCTTTGTTAGCAACTACACAACATAAAGTTTCAAAGACAGACGAGAAAGAAACGAAATTCAAAACAAGCGAGATGAGAAACAATCTATAAGCAGTTAAGGAAAGAAAACGTTTTTTTCTTCGATTTTTAGCGTGCAAATTCAAAGCACAAAAGAGAAATACAGTTCGTAAATGATTTCGTAGGTAATAAAATACAAAAGGTTTTTCCAGGAGCATTGATTTAAAAAAAAATGATTGGTAGGAGAATTCCAATACAAATATCAAAAGAACATATAAAAAGAAATACCAAAAGAATCAAAGCAGAGATATGTTAAATTCCTTAAAATTGTTAGCGCATTTGAACATTACATCTCAATAGAATGATTTGCAGTCTTTTTGGCCATTGTAGGTTTTTGTTTTCAATAAATTAAAATTTGCCAGTTGCAATTGAAATCTTCACTGATAAAAAGCAATTAAAATTATGTAGATACAGTCATATGAGACTAAAAGGCAGCATCATTGCCAACATTTTTATTTATTACATTATTAGTAGCTTTTAAGAATCGCAGTCTGAAGTCGAGCTACTACACATCAGAGATCTAATGAGGCTAAGCTAATGAAAACTGCTAATAATATAATGTGATATCTCAATGCCAGCCTTCCTCTATTATTGTATTTTATTAAATGCATGTTGTTTGTTTTCATTTTAGGTCAAATGTTTCACTTTGTCGGTTAGCTAACGGTGTTCCCAAGACTGGGTCCACTTAATTTCCATCCTTAAGCGATTAGGATTTTAAGGGAAAGTCACAACTATGCTTTCGCTTGGACCGGGAATCGAACCCGTAACCTTTCATTAATTGCCCGGTCGTTATTGTAGCTAGCTCTATTACGTTTTTGGATCAATTCTACTTGAGGTTTGTTCCTATCGTGTGGGCTTGAACATTCAACTCCCAACAAGACTTCGGCTGACAACTTCTATAGTGGGAAATTGGAAACTATTATTCTTACTATAGAAAAAATATTATTCCGAAGTAACAACCCGCAACAAGACTTTGCTGCGTTGCCTTATTAGACTTGGCATCCACTTAAAATTCTAATGCTATTAAACCTTGAAAAGAATTCGCAGTATAAACAATAACAATTTTAATATCATAAATCACATTCACACCTTTTTATAATAACAACCAGAACCATTTATGCGTCTCCAGCGCAAGTGTTAATTGACTGGTTTTTAAAAGAGCCATTATTGGTTGTGTCACTTTTTATCAAAATTAATCAAATCTGGGATTTATAATTCAGTCTTTGAAATTTGTACTATTTTCTGTTCGGTGCGCATTTAATCAATGAATACCTCCCGGTACATTCATTGGTACATCTTCGTCACATTCAAGCATTTCGTCGACGGTCCAGATGCATCTTGTCGTCTACGCTCGAATTAGGAAGATCATTTTTAATTTTAACTTTATTTTAAAGTTCTCAAATGTCTTTCTTGAAACTTCCTTCACATTCCCGTTAACCTTGAGGGTTTAACATTAAAATTCCACACAAAAACATTGCCATTACCATAAAGACTTCGAGTTTTTATCTAATTTATAAATATTTTCTTATATTCGCGGTGAGCTGAATATACCTCATCTCAATATAGCCAAATAGTTTGGTTATAACCTTTTATTCTCACTTTAGAATTCTAGCAACACATCACCAAACAACACTCATTTAATATTCTGTACAAGGTTTGGCACGAACTAAAAATTTAGTAATGGTTCAAAATTTTAATGATAGGTCGTCGTCTACGTTTGCATTTTTCATAAACAGTGGGCAACGAGTACAAAATAGAATGAACTATTAATCGAGAACGATCAGAAAAAAGACATACTGCATTAGTCTACACAGATACTGAAAAAGAAGCGGTTTTAAAAATCAACGAAGACGATGCAACTTTCTCGTCATGCCGGTTATTGACAACGAATGCATTATTGAGTTGACTCTTATTTATTTCGTCTCTTTAGTCTGTTCATCGGGAGGCGTAGAAAAAAAAACGTTCGAAACCGTCCCACAGCTGCTCATTGGCGCGATGTGTTGGGGTGTCACGGTCGATAAGCAATGGATTCAAAGCAGCGAGCTCGGGGACAGAGACGGAATTCGGAGATGAAGGGATAAAATTCCGCACAGACGGCATGAAAAGATAGGGGAGCGGCGGTGTGGGCGGGGGCGGGGGAGGCTGCGAGCGCGCAGGCGCGTGGCCAACGCCGACGCGCTAATTGATTAACACGGCGCCGCGATGAGTGGCGCCGCCCCGTGAAATTGAACGCGGCGAAAAGGAGATCGCCGGCGGAGATTACTCGGTCGGGGGCGACGTCCGGCGAGGCGGAAGCGGGGCGGCGGAAGCGGACCGCGGCGGCGGAAGCGGGCGGTGGACCGGCGCACGGGGGCGACAACACAGGAGGCGCCACACACACCGCGTAGCCAGGGCGAGCCGTTGGAAGAGGAGAGAACGGGGAGCAGACGCGAGAGAGGAAGCCAACAAAAGGTGATTGATTGGTGATTCCGGGTGCGTCAACTGCTACCGTCATTTGTCGTGTACCGCGTATTTTTTAATCACTGGAGATGGAGGTGCCTTTTATACGCTGGATAGCGAGATACGGAACCGACCTGCTACGTTGTCTTGCGGGGTTTTCCCCAACCAAGTATCTCCCACCAGCGGGACCGTCCAGTCACGACAAACTCTGGTCTACCGAGACGTGAAGTAGTGTAGTGCATGCTAATATATGTGTATGTATGTGTGTGTGTGTGTGTGTACATAAAGCGTGGCAAGGAAGAGAAAGGAAAGATTGCACGCGGTTCATGACCCGTTTGTTATGGTACTGTTCCAGCATTCGCCTGGTGTTGATTGAAGAAATCTCGGAAACCTACCCATCAGAGCAGCCGGCCGCTAGAATTCTCCTCTAGACAGCTGTTGAACTCGACCCAGTCTAGCCAGTGTCGAAAATCCTGCTACCACACATAGTGCTAAATCATTTAAATCAATAGATTTGTTGCTAGTTCCATCTAGATATGCCGTTAGAAATCTGTGCAACGTCGGGATCGGATCCCAAGGACCTTCCGGTCAGAAGTACTGCCATCACTTGATGTCCTGAGCCACTTTTGTCGGTACAGAGAGAGATTAGGAGTGGACACTGTAAGAAAGGGGGGCGAGAGAGGAAGGGCGGAATAAATCCAAAGAGAAACGTGTAAATCATCCATCGTGAGAGCTAGGGCGTAAGTGATCCAAAGGTGAAAGCACGGAAGAAAACAAGAGCGACTTAGATATCGAAGGACAAAGAAGGCATTAGCAATAATGAGCTCTGTTAAATTAAAGACCGAAGATTGTTGATGAGGAAGCGAGTAGGTGACTGGTGGATTCATCAATCGGATAAATGCAGCGAGGTCGTTAATTATTTGAGGATTACGACAACAGACTATGCGAAATAAATATTGCGGTTTCTAATCCAGCGAAAAGGATGAGTCAAGGTGGGGTGGTGCTGTGACTGGAACTGCTGTACAGTAAATACGTAGCCGGTGATACGTGAATGTGGAAAGAGAAGAGTCAGCGAAAGCAGGGCGCACCGAGAAGGCTAGTAGCGGCGGCGCGAGGGGAGTCCAGCTGAATGGCTTGGCGAGGGTCGGCAGTATGTAACCCGCGCGGCCTACAACTCCACACTTTCTTTGCTTACCAGTAGGATTACGCTCCGGGGTGGGCAACTAGGTTCTTGGCCTTTATCCGAACCCCCATCTAGAGGAAGAACGCCTTCAGGCTGGTTAATGGATCTCGCTAGAACACAGTTACCCCTCTTGGGAACCTCCCCATTCAATGCCTGGTCGTGCCGCCCTGTAAGCGCAAAGCTACAATTTTTCCAGACCAATACTGGAGTCTAATAAAAGCGCCACTCTTAACGCGTCGGTAGAGGTATGCCCAGAGTGTCTGGCCACTGGCGAATCCAAATGCCTAACTGGGGGCCACCAGGCCGAAATCCAGAGGACTCGGGGCCCAATCCATTTCCTCACGGCCTCCCCCTTGAAGCTATCGACGTGAGTACTGTCGGAACCTAGACAAGCTGAAAGGGAAATTTAAGTTCCCTCTCAGGACGTCTAAATGTAGGTTTGAGATCCACTGCCCGCCTTTGCAGGATGCCATCTAACGAACCTTATGCCCAATTCCGCCCAAAGATCGGTGGCAAGCCACCTACTCACTGTCTCCACCTTTAATCTAACGACATGAGTGCCGAAGTGAAACTCGGGGTCCGGATGGCCGTTTACAATCGTCCAGCAACAACCGTGACCTCTACGGTCGACGGTCACCGCCCCCTTCGGGAAGTGAGGGTGGGAAGGGGGGAGGGCCAGTCACACGCTCTTCATCCCAAAGGGGGGGTGCGCGAGCTGGACGTCATCATGACCCCTGCGCTGTGCACACGCGCACCGGAAAGGGTGGTGGTTAGCGACGGTATCGAAAGGCTTTCGGTGGATAGCATAACACTAGAGGGTGCATCCTCCGGGGCAAGCCCAGCAGGAAATAAGGAAGATACCAGAGATTGATTTCGTCATAGAGAAGCATAAAGGCCGAAGAAATACAAGAAAATATGTTTTTAAGATAAAATATCAATAGAGTCTCAATGAAATATAAGGAAACGTAACTGTCAAAGGTCAGGAATGATGCGGAACGCAGAAATATTAATTAAATAAGCAACTGAACGAAATATAAACATATCTGCGGTCTGAAACCATTTCAACTTGAACAAGACAAATAGTGTTAACACATACTACCACTAAATAAAAATACGGACAAAAGTATTACAAATTTGTTAAAGGCTGAACATATACGTAATACAAAATTATCTCGCTCACAACGTACATACAAGAGAAATATTATACAAACATCTTTACAGAAACAATCGAGAGACATTTACGATAAGCGCCTTTCCCAAGCGAATTAAAACGAGCTACATTGAAAAACAAACACTTAATTTTTGATATGAATTATTTGCTTATGCCTAAAATTTTATCGCGCTTACGTGAAACAAATTTGAATACATAGACATCTGGTTTTATTAACTCCAGCACCAAGATATACTTTCTTCCTGCGGATATGAATTAAAAATGAATTAGTTTCCTTTGCACTTTCTCCTTCATCTTTACATATTCAAGAGAAAAAGTTTGCCAGAAATTTTGAATTTCCGGAAACGCAGTTCGAGAAACTCGTTAAAATAACTTCAAAATGAAACATTCTTTGCTTAGAATTGAGACTTTTATAAAACGGATACTGCGCTGCACAAGAATTCCTATTTCCGCTGAACTTTTCACGAGAATATTTTTCTTTTGAAAAATATACCCAGAGTTTGTTGTTTTTTTTTTGTACCAATGTCTATTGATACAATGTGAACAAAATTACAAGTCTGGCATTTCCAACAAATAGAATAGAAACATAATCCATGACGTGTGACCTTTTGAGAGGGAAAAAGGTGAAATGAAAGTTATACACTGTCACTTGCAGCGATCAGACCGTGTCAAGAATACCGCATATTCTTCTATCGAGAAACTTCTCTGCTGTTATTTCGCGCTATGTAAGCTTAAAAAACTTGTATAACGGAACATATTGTTCTTAATTGCCTCTAGTATGACTTTTGCGTAAAAAATTGTCGCATTACGAATGCACAGAAATTTAATCGAATCCAAATTCATGACGTATGACCTTTCGAGTTCCCTGTCAATGAACTGAAAGCGTGCCACAAAAAATACTAATTTTCTACTAACAATGCTATCATCATACGTCATTTATCTCTAACACGGCCTCTATCAGTGGCATTAATATTTCTCAATCTAGAATGACTCCTCCTAAACCTTCTAAACTTCTGCATTGTTAAGCGCACCGGTCACGCACGTATGTTGCAATGCCCGTAACGTCTAAATGTCAACTCCTCAATGTCATTGTCAATCCGAGTGCAAATATCCCCAGGCACAGATACTCCCACAAGTTGGATTCACGGAAGCCCGGGCGGCTTTGTCTTTTGTTATTTTTTCTTCAGCATATCCACAAGAAGAATCGGTGGTTAATTCCTATTCAATATTCTGCGTACTTATGAATAAATGTTAAAGATAAACAAATAAAAATTAAATTTAAAAACGAGCCAGATTAGCAACTTCTTGAGAAACTATTTAGTTTTGTTCCTGAGTTGTAGAAAACGTATTTGCAACGGTAATCGAACTGCAGATTTATTTTCTGCATTGCTAACAAAATAGTAACTCGCCCTTATCTGTACTCCTACCTATTTTGTTCGAAATGTTTGTCCAAACGATTGGGCAAATATCCTGTATAGTTTGCGAATGGCAAACTTGTTTCAGTTCATGGAAAGTACTCGAACTCATTGGTGTATCTGTAGTCAAAGGGTACAAGGTAGAAACAATAATGCGCCTTTTACATTCCCAAAATCGTCAATTATCTCAAATATTGGCTACTAGATGCTCATTTTGAAAAATACTCGAAACCTTGAAGAAGTTGATGCAATCCCTTAGCCTAATTCAAAACTTTTCTCGTCTTCTTTTTTTTCACTCAAACACACGCATGCATGGAGAAAAATACAATGCAAATTGAAAAGAGGGGCTAGTGGCACGAATTATGAAAGGAGAGGCAAATGAGAGATTAAATTTCATTAAAAAAAGGCATGGAAATACAAAAGGGAATATTTAAACCTCATAAGGAAGCAAAAATAAACTGCAATTTTAACAAATAAAGAGTTATAACTATTAGTTTTCCATTTACCAAGCATCAATTTGCAAAACACATTTATTGGCACAAGAACGTATAAGAAACTCATAATAGACGTGAGTATTACGTCGACTTAACGGTCGAATGTCAATGGGGGAGGGGGAGCAGAAGATGGAAGCCTTAGTGTTTCTTATTTCAAGTTAAGAGTGTGTGTTTCATCGTTTAGGACTTTTATTATTAGAAACTAACAGAAGTCTTGGTGATCGTTTTGTCTTTCAACGCTTATCGGATGTTTACAAATATATATGTAGATAGAATTCGGTCTGTGGCCACATCGGTCTGTGGCCACATCGGTCTGTGGCCACATCGGTCTGTGGCCACATCGGTCTTTGACCACATCGGTCTTTGACCACATCGGTCTTTGACCACATCGGTCTTTGACCACATCGGTGTTTGGTCGATGTCGTGGACCTACCTTGACGACGCTGTGCACGGCCTGCGCGTAGAGCATGTTGACCTCCACGGGGTCTTGCGACAGCTCGCGCGTGTGCCGGAAGAGGCGCCGCTTGAACACGAAGCGGTTCTCCCCGGAGCCCAGCGTCGAGTTGTTGCCGCGCCGGCTCAGCGTCGGGAAGGACGACGTGCTTGATCCCAACTTGCACTGCTTTCTGCGCCAACAGACACACATTCAAGTCTAGAGTGCACTCCTCGCAACGACATTTCCACCGGTCTCCGACCTCCAAACAAGCATCGGAGGTCGCGAGAAGCAGGTGCGGATTCAGACAAACAAAGGAGGTGGGGGGCGTTTTTTTTTAGATATTTGTTAAATAATAAACATATGTTATACCATATATGTGTTGTAATGTAATGCTACCATACAATTTTATCGTTATAAACGTTTCTAATTTTTGTGTATTTTATTTTTTGATTTTCCTGCACTGTTCGAATTGTATTTTTTTCCTTTAGCCCTTGCATGCTTCCTCCTAGGGGGCATCTGCCATGGGGAGAGCAACGTAACTTCAAGGGGTTGCTCTCGCGGGTTAATCGAATTCAGTACTCAAAAAAGGAATGAACTCGATCTCAACAATTCTTAACACTGATCATTTATAGAAAAATCTCTCCACAAAACGAAACAATTTTTACACTAATTCCAAGTTTTTGACGGCATTTTTGAAATATGCTTCGAAAATTTGAGAACGCTACCTTAATAACCAGATAATGATTAAACACTCTGCTGCAGCAGTAATTTATCATAAGAGAATCCTAATAGTCGGTGGCGAATCGAGGAAGTGGGCAGTTGGCTTACTACGGAGGGCGTCATTTGAATTTCTTGGGACATAAATGCATATTTTTTTAATAATTAAGCTTCGTATATAAGAACGTCTATCGACTATTATTTTGTACATTTTCTATCAGTCTCTTATGACCTCTTGTCCAGTGCAATTATTTGTATAACCATAAAAAAAATCAGGTCCAGACACCCTAATTGTTGCGTAAGAGCATATTTTTAATAGTTAATAACAAAAAAAATCTACTATACTGAGTTTTAAACCCAGTGTCACTTTAAGGTCACGAGCTGCCAAGAGACGGAGGGAGGGGGCATTGTTATCCAATCGAGCAGGCGAGCATTTGCTCCAAACCAAAAATACGAGCCCCTATACCAAATCATTTAAGTTTTAACGAAGCTCCCAATTAGATGACAGACTCTCCGTCCAGCTCGTGTCCTTGAAGGGCCACTACCTTTAAAATCGGAGGAGTACGCCGGAAGGGGGTTCGCAGCGCGCGCCGATGGCAACACTCACATCTCCCAGGCGGCGATGACGTCGTAGAGGTAGTCGTGCGCGCGCACGTGCTCCTCGCCGTCGGGCCGGCTCTGGTAGATGGCCCAGCCCTCGAGGTGGCGCAGGCCCAGCTTCTCGGCCAGCTTGGCGGCGGCGTCGCTCGCCGTGTCGGTGGGGTGCACGTCGATCGCCTTGGTGCGCCCGTCCAGGAAGAAGAAGCGGCACACGATCGTGCCCAGCCGCTTCATCGCCTGCGAACGCGACCGCGTGCACTCAGGACCACGGGGGCCTTGCCACTCTCAATTGCACTGGTCGCGAAGCTTATCACGTCGATTTAATTAGAGCTTCATTTGACAGATCAGCTGTTGCGGTGTCATCCAATCGGGAGCGTACTCGTCATTATGGTGACTTTCAACTTTTTGATTGTATGACACTAACAGCTGATTTACGGCAAATGACCCGATGTTTAAATCCAAGTATTGAGTGGTGTGCTCTGCCCTTGCAAAACGTCTACAAAAAACCGCTGCCAACACAGAAGCGCTAAGGTTTGAAAGATTGATTGATGATCCCGGCGCGGCAACGGTTAGGGTCATTATTCCCGAAAGTGTAGTGCATTTTTATCGTGGGCTGTGGCAGGGACCTTCCATCGCTGGATGCGAGATCCGGCGCCGACCTACCTCAGCTTGTGCGCTCTCTCCCCCAACAGGCATCTCCCACCAGTGGAGCGCCGCTCCAGCCGGGTCGAGCTCTAAGCTCCCGACTGGTCTCCCGGCATGAGCGGTAGTGTATTGTATGTAAGGGTAAGTGTATGTAAGTAAGGGGTAACAATAAGATACGGAAGAGAAAGGAAAGATGGTGCGCGGCCCATTTGTTAGGGTACTGCTCCGACATTCTCCTGGTGTCCATTGGAGAAATCACGGAACACCACCAATCTGAGTAGCCGGACGTTTCAATTCTCCTCTACACAGCGGCTGAATTCGATCTAGCTGGCTAGCCAATGGCGAATATCTGCCACCGAAGGGACTTCAACTCTATAACCTCCCGATCAGATGTACTGCAGTGACGTCAACTGATGCACTGAATCATCTAAGCCTTTGGCGCGTAGGCCAGAATGCGCTGTTGGGTCACGAGTTGGCGTGCCCAAAGGGAAATACCGTGGAGTTACTTGTGCTTTGCAGAGCCTCTGCTATTTCGTTAAATATTTCATATCATTAGAAGTAACCGATTTCCGCGTTATTTGCTACTTTCTACAAATGCGTGATATTTTTATCGTGAAAAGTTTGCAAATGTGACGCAATGGCGCACGGGAATATTCCAGCTCTCCTATCCTTGCACCTGTAGATCTATCCACAGTTCTACCCGTGAATCGATAGGTCTTGGTGGGGAACGCTAAGATATAAGATTGGAAGGTGCTAGGCGAGGGATGGATAAAGATGGACGATTGTGTGTGTGACGGGGGGGATAATTATTAAGAGAAGCGAGTTCTGAAGTTAAAGGTGATCAACGGAAAAAATGGGAAAATTTAAAAGTATGAGAAATTAGACAGATGATTGATGGAAATACAGAATTTGCGACAGGATTAATACGAAAATTCGTTGTAGAAACATAGGGGGCCATCAATGGGGTGTGTTCCATGCATGCTAGGTACGCCATGTGTATTAAAAGTTGGGTGTCGGTTTCTGGATGCAAGAGTGATCATGAAAATATGTTTGAGAGAGGGAGTACGAGATAACAATGGATTTAATAACTGGTGAGTGATTAAATGGATAGAATGGATTAAAATATTAACACGTATTTAATGGGCACAGACAAATAATCACGAAACATTTCCCATGAGATTTAAGGTTCATTCTTTCGAAAATTACGATAAGCACACACAGATTTAAACTAAATCCAAATAAATCCCTTTACAAAGTAAATTTTAACAATGAAATTGTGACATGTTATTACAGGATTACTTTTCGTTTTACCTTTGCTCTAAAAGCAAATTCGCTATGATATTATTTTGAAGCAATATTTTTATTTAATATCTTAATTTACTATTTTCGACCAATATTTCTCCGCTAGAATATGTTTTCATAATTCGTTATTTACATTTATAATGAGTTATGTACACCTTCAGTGTACGTTAAGTCAATTAAACAATCATAATATGCAAAACAACTATTTCTACACAAAATTTCATTGTATTCTCTATAAAAGGGCAATTCATTTTTTTTTAATTTATTGAAAGTCGAAACACAGAACTAGTCTGAATTTATGAAAAGTAATCCAGTTACATTTAAATGTTCAGAAACGAGGCAAGGGATTATCTGAATATTTATAAATAAATTTAAAAGTGCATATACTGCTAGAAAAATTTCTTTACTTCTGTAACGAAAGTTATCCTTATATTCTATTGTCACAGTATCCATTTTATGTTGTTTACAGTTTGGCTATTCAATCGCTTTGAATTCTTAAGCATGCAATGAGCTAGAATGCAATACTTACCGCAATTTCTACGGTGGAAGGAGGATACTGACGACAGGAGACTTTGGTGTTCTTGCAGTTTTCCAAACACCACTGCACGTACTGGCGAAGTTTGCCCTCCAACTGCAGGTTCTTTTTCAGGAAGCACATGAAATACTGCAAAGAAAAATCAACGCGCAATCAGATGGGCGGTTTTGTAAGCAGGAACCCTCCCTCCCTTCGCGTACGATCCGATTCGCATACAACCTGCACCTAAACGCTGAAGGGGATCTCCCCTCCGCGAGGCGGGCGTTATCCGATCCACAGGAGCTCAGTCTCGCCTCTCAGAAAGACGGACCCTCCGCACCCTCGTCTTTACACTCGCGCCAGGATCTGCTGGCAGTTATTACTAGGGACACCTTGTAGGACCCTTGTTTACTCATCTATTCTCATTCCTTATCTCCTATCCGCACCTTCGGAATCGGCCTACGGTGAAATCATATAATGCAGAATTTCCCCATCATTTCAACAACGTATACTACCCGCAACGTACACAACCTATCTCGATAAAGAATGCCTATTACAAGAATTAAATAGAACGTCATCTGTTAAAAAGCTACACGGATTTAAGAGTAGCTGAATTACAGAAACCATTTAATAGCGTTTCTGTTTTTGAAATCGTTTTTGTGAAAAAAGATGTATTTTTTTTTATGAAAATTAATTTCTTTTTCGCTTTAGTACTTGATACCAATATTTATTGTTAGAAGTCCAATGTAATGCTTTTGGAGCGAGCAGTGCACATGAACGGCCGGATTTACCTACTTATAGCTTGGAGGTTCCCACAACCCGGAAAAAAAATTGTGAAAAATATAAAATGTACGCATCTATAATATAACTTAATCAAAGAGTCTATCTAGTACTAAAAAGTTTGTATATAAAAATTAACTCAAATTTTCAAAGCAGCTTTTTAGGAACTTGGTTATATAGCGACCATAGTGATTGTTGTAACTGTAGGAACAACACATACAAACATACATGCCTGAAGCGGGATTCGAAACTGCGAAAAGACGACCCGAGGCAGCTACGGCCCTTCGGTCTAACGCCCTCGACTTTTCAGGCCGGCTAACTTTTTTTTCTTGCATGAACATTTACGTCTTTAGCGACCACTATTGGATTTAACGTTATGGTAACTATTAAGATGACATGATATGGTGCTGATAGGGGGTGAAAGGACGAACACAAATACAACCATGCCCGAAGCGGGACTCGAGCCCGCGGTCCTTCGGTCCGAGATCGCTACGTCACAACTGCTTTACGATCTCGGCCATCCGGACCGGCCAACTAAAACTTTGTTTTTGTTCTATAGTAGGTAAATCGGGAGGATTCCGGCGGGAGCGGCGGCGGTGGCGGCGGGAGCGGCGGCGGCGGCGGGAGCGGCGGCGGCGCGGTGAGGCGGCGGCGGCGGCGCGGCGGCGGCGCGCGCGGCGGCGCGGGGGGCTGAGGCAGGCGGCGCGGCGAGCGGCGGCGGCGGCGAGCGGCGGCGAGCAGCGGCGGCGGCGGGAGCGCGGCGTTCCGGCGGGAGCGGCGGGCGGGCGAGGGGAGCGGCGGCGGTGGCGGGAGCGTACCTTATAGAGCAGCTTGCTGGGCTGGAAGGCGACGATGCAGAGGCAGAGCAGCAGCCACACGCGCTCCGTGCTCTCCGCGTTGGGGTTGTTGGTGGCCTGGCGCACGCACTGCACCAGGATCTCGTCGCGCAGCTCCTCGCGCTCGATGCCGTAGCCCACGATCGCCTGGATCGTCTGCAGCTCCGCGTCCGCCTTCAGCTCCCCGCGGATGTACTTGCACAGGTCCTGCGCAACGCCACACCACACCACGTTATCGTTATCTCGCCAGCCCGCGCGTCTACTCGCTTAGCCGCAACACGCGGGGGTTGCCGCATGGGAAACTATTTTATTTTTCATAGCAACTAACTTCCCACCTCGGTAACGTCGGCAATGATTTTTTTTTTGAAACGTGCAAGGACGTGATACGGGTCAACTTCAAATGTATTAATTTTTTAACATGTACTCAGATTGAAATATATCCTTTCAAGATCACGAGCTGCAAGGAGAGGGGTGCACTGTCATCCAATCGGAAGCTTCGTCGGGACTTAAAATTTTGGTATTGAAGCTCCCGATTGGATGAAATCATCTTCCAGCTCGTAAACTTGAAGGGACCCTATATTTACATTGAAATAGAGAGATGCTTGTCAGGACAGATCATAGTCATGACTAGTGAGTAACACTGGTTCGGCCATGACTTGTGTATTAACACTTACATTATCGTCTCAAATGTTCAGATAATATTTGATCCTAATAGGTAAGTTTAACTTCTGGATTAGTGAATTTAGAATGCATGTTCTTGATTGGCATTTTTTCAATGTTGCTGGCCTATTAGCAATTCGTTCTCAAGGTATCATCTCTCCATCACACTCCTTTGTAGTTACAAGCTGAAATTGCGATCAGCAGGGACTGAACTGGGATTTAGGCTGAATATTTCAACAGAATTCTAAAAAGGGAAGTTCAATAATCCCAACTAGTTTATAATCTTTGTTAGAACTTTATCTTATTCCCAAGTACAGAATATGGCAGTCAACCTTTATTAGGTGTCACGGCTCAAAACTTTATTTTCTTTGCATTTCCCGAGTTTGACAATTCAGCGACAGTATTGGAACGCGAGACTTACGATTGTAGGCAATTAAGACTTCTTGAACGAGGTATGTTGCCAACAATTAATATCCCCGAAACAGTAACACCTTGAATGAGTTTTCGCAAAACCCTTCTTACGGTATAATTATTTTATTAGTGAAAGATTTTTTTGAAGGAACGCATTGCAGATAATGCATTATGTTCCGTAACATGTTTCACTAAAATGTACTCCGCAAGGCTTTTTCTCTTTTTGGACGATACGGTCTCAAAAAATCTGCAATTAAAATGCACAGCGTAACGTACATTCAGTATAAGTACACCCCATCGTCACACGCACACACACACACACATTTATACACACACACACATTTATACACACACACACATTTATACACACACACACATACACAAGAATGATGGTTATTAGCACATTTAAAGGCACGATGAGGACGATGTTCTCGCTCTCGGCGTGGCGCCAACACCAAATTACCTCGCCTCTCTGGTGATTCATCTTCGCGTTTGTCCACTTAAGGCTCCTAAGCGGGATTAACGACGTCGCTTTCCAACCCCGGGTGCGCTCTTGACGACGCATTCGAAGCTGCGTAGCCCGCGCAATTCACGCACTACCCACGCACGTAGCGCGCGCGCGCACACACGCGCACACACGCACACACATACACACACACACACTTACCCGGAAGATGGTGACTGCCACGTTCACGTTGTCGGGGTCGTACATGTGGATGTGAGAGTTGGGGATGCTGGATCCGCGATAGTACGTCACCATCTCGTACTTGGGCACCAGTTCAGTTGGTTTATTCTTGCGCGTCAAGGTTGCCATTATCGTACCTGCAGAAAGAGACACATTTCTAAAAAAATCAGGAATCTTAAGTTTTGTGAAGACAGCGCAACAGTCTGTTCACATTCGGGTGGACCATTGACAAATTCTAATCGTCACTGGATACTAGATTAGGAATCAACAAACTACCGATAAAGGTGATTCTTTTAGACTCTGTTTAGAATTTAATAATTAAATTACCACGAAAATATTCAGGAAAAAATCCATGCAATGATTTTTATTTTGCATTAGGTAATTGTTTATTAAACGAGAACATAATACATTCCACCTGAACTAGTTATATTTATTGGATTGTGATAGATTCCTAGAATACCTTGCACACAAAAACACCCCCAAAAAGTACAGAGATCTCAAGCACCCAGAGTTCAGGGTGGATCTTGATTCCCCCCTCAATCTAGGCAACTCGGCCCTTTCTGCATGTGACGATCCTCTGCTACAGTAGATGGGATCTGATCCTACTTTTTTGAAAGAATGCTTCAACCTTCTTTAAAGCTATCCACGACCTATATCTCATGAGACATTTTATTACAACACAAGATTCTATAAACCTTCAAATATTGTGAAAGATACGATCAATTTTTTTTTCGATTTGTATATGATCTAATATAAAAATGGCATTGTACTACATTTTCTATTTAAATTTGACAGTGCGTTGTGCGCAAGGTGACGATGTTAACGGTAATTAACAGCAGGTCATGCATTATTAGAGCATTCGTACTTGAATAACTCGTCAATACAACTTGCATCTCTTGTTGTTTGTTTGTTGGTTATTTATTTTTTTATTTATTTTTTATTTATTTATTTATTTATTTTTATTTATTTATTTATTTTTATTTATTTATTTATTTATTTTTATTTATTTATTTTTATTTATTTATTTTTTTATTTATTTTTATTTATTTTTTTAATTTATTTATTTTTTATTATTTTCTTATTCTCTTTTATTCTTTTTTTGTTTTTTATGTATTTATATTTGTTCGTACCTTCGGGCGAGCGCTCGTGGCTGTTGAAGTAGTTGTGCGCGAACTCTACGATGTCGTGGTAGGCGTCGTCCGCCAGCTCGCCTCGGTCCTCCTCCAGCTCCTGCAGCTTGCGCTCCACGCGCACGCGCCGCCGCTGCTCGCGCTCGGGGTCCTCGTCGCGCCCGTTGTGGCGCCACTGCGCGTGCTGCAACGCCACGCACACACCACCCCTCAGCCACCGCCCTCCTCACCGCGTGGCTGAAACGCTTCAGCACTCTTTCAAGTTATTCACAGATCGTGAGACATTTCATTACAAAACAAGATTCTAAAACCAATCGGGGATTGTACAAATAAATAATGCATTTACTACCTAACCTCTTGGATGATTAGGTAGTTAATGCCTTATTTTACGTGGCGAGACTAATGCCGTGAGGCCGTCTAGGGCTGGTGCGACTAATGCAGATTCAGGGTCGAATTTTAGGACGGGAAATTCAAAATGTTTTCATCAAGTATGTATATTACATATTTTGTAAAACGTCGCGGCTACACTCAGCGATACGATTTTATTCGTGTTAAAGATAATCCGAAAATATTGTCGCTTGGAAGTTTCGTGACGAGTTAAAATTAATTACTGAAATATTTTAGAGGGGGATTTCCCTCTGCCCCCCCCTCCTGGATCCGCGCCGACATGAGGTCTATTCTTCCATTTGACTACGCACATATTTCGCTATGCTCCTTTCACCAACTGGTAGAGAAACGAGTTATTAACTCGGGCGACAAAACAGGCGATTTGAACCTAGCTCAGAGGCTTCTTTTAAGCTTTAGGATCTTTTACATGCGGTAAGTATGCCACAAGGGACAGCCGGCATTACATCGCTCCTAAGGAATTTTTCGAACTTAAAAATCCACGGTTTCGATCGAATTTGAACTCGCAAACTTGTGTACAACGGCCTGTTACGCTGAACATTGTACTCGTAAGTGTGTTGAATGTCTTAATCGGTGAGGTGGCCATATCTGGCGCCAACCTACACTTCGGCTAGCGGAATTTTCTCCATCCAAGTACCTCCCACCAGTCGGAACAAGCTAATCTCTCGATTGGCCTCTCGACATGAACATATGGTAGTGTAGTGCTTGTAAGCGTGGGTGTACGGAGGGGATGAGAACAAGGAAGAAGGGAAGATCGTGCGCGTTCGAGTGTTCGAATGCTGGCTGGAGAGTAAAAATTATGAGCGAGGACAGTGGGTCGGTGGTTCAACCCCATTAAAGAAGACAAGAGAAGAAGATCCCGACTTGCAATGTTTCAGAAATAGGTAGTGCCTCTACGCTTGCTACACATACGAGTAATTCGCCTTCAAAACTGTGAGATAAGCGTGGGAACGAAACTTGGAATAAAAGTGTCAATAGACGGTTAGAAATAGTTCCACTTTAAACTGTGCCTCATGTTTGACGTGTTGTAGATTATGACAAGTGTAATAGACAGATATACGTGGTCTATTCCGAAAAACGTGGCGTCGCAAGATGATAAAAGTGATGATCGCCTTGGTGGTACTTTCTTATTTCTTAATTTATCTTACAGATCATACAATAAACTAATAAGGAAAATCACGATTACAGCTTTCATCCTTTGGATATAGAAGTTTCAGATCCTCGAACTATGAACTGAGTTACTAATCGTTCTCGAAACTGCAACGTTATTTAAAATCTAATGCGACCTTTCCATCAAGTTCCATCAATGATAGAATTCGTGCAGAGAAACGGAAATACTGTTTCATGCGAGCTTTATTTACGCATCTCTCCAATCCACTCAAGCCTGGCGAAAAATCATCTTATTCGGATTTGTGTGTGCCGGCCCATCGTTCCGTTACTTCCCATTACGTCGCTTGTTCTGGATTACAGTTATTATCAGAATTAATTTCTCTAATAAGAATTCTCTGAATTCCTCCCAGTCCATTCCACAATATGTACACGAGAAAATATTTTCTCCGAGCTCCTCTCCTCTACTAGTATATACGCCTACTCGAAACGAATGCGGCAGCGACCGAAAATCTGATGCCCACGAATTCCTGGAACGTAGTGCGCCCAAATAAACTACGCCAATTCCGCCGTAAATTGCCGTTCCTTTGAGAGTTCTCGAGTTTTGTTCCAATTTCGCCTCCCCCGCCTCTGCGGCCAGCCGAGCGCCTCCCCGAGGTAGCATTTAATGCAATCTTCGAGTCTCTCGCAATTTCCATATCGCCGCGTCGGGATGGGGCGTGAGAAGAGGCAGGGTGGAGCGAGCGGTGGTCCGAAAAGAGGGCGGGGGAGAGTGCGGGCAAGGGAAGAGGCGTGCATGAGGTGGGTATGCGATAGGTGGGGTGGGGTGGGCGCGGAGAATGAGGGTGGTGGCGGGCAGGTGGAGAAGGGTGGGCGGCGAGGGTGGGCGGGCCGAGGGTGGCGGGCCGAGGGTGGGGGGCCGAGGGGTGGGACGAGGGGCGAAGCGGTTGGGCGGGCCGAGGTGGGGGCGGCGAGGGTGGGCGGGCGAGGGTGGGCGGCGCCGAGGGGTTGGGCGCGGTGGACGGAGGCGGAGTGGAGCCCTTAGGTTCGGCGCGGTGCTGGCTCGGCCGCCTGCAATTAATCCCCACTGCCCTGCAGCGCCGGCCGTCGAGAGCGCTCCTGCAACTTGGGCTACTCGCTCTATTACATGAAGCGCGGATTAATGTGAGCTCCCGAGGCCGCGCTGCGGTCGCCGGCGATGGCCACATGCGGCGCACAGATTGCCAGTGCTGCGACACTCACGCTACTTTAACTCTCATGTAGTTTACTAGGACTTGTTACCGTTGATACGGCTGCACTAGTAGGGTTTCAGTTGGCTGAATTGATTTTGCTGAACAGAATTTTACTTTCGTATTAGAGATACGGCGTTTCTGTGAAGAACCGAGCAATGAGACTCCACCCAAGACAGTAGAGCTATCAAATATTACATTCCAGGTAGTACCAACACAATGGAGAAAGCGTCAAACGTGAAAAATAACTTTGAAACGAAATCGTGTGTTTCACTCCCACAAATAACATCGGGATACATTCTATTTTTCATGAGCAACCAGGCACTAACGAAGTGTCCAAAGAGGTTTAATCAAAGGTCAGCAGACCGAAAAATGTAACATAAGTGATAAAAAGTGAAAGTAACTATCTTCGATAGCAATTGTTGAATTTTTGGATCAAGCAGTTTCGATTAGCTGATAATTATCTGATCATAAAATATACTTCCAATTGAAAAGATAAATGATTTAGAATATATTTTTAAAATGTTTGTGTCAATCGCATGAAAATTGTGTAGGCGAGATGTGCGCTTTGCGAAGCTGCATGGGTAAATCTGCTGGTGCAATTAATCACGGCAATGCAAGAGTACATGGGCCGAACCTCAGTTTTCAGAAATATTACAATCACTCCGGCCAACCATCATTCCTAGATGAGAATTACAATTCAAAGAAGGGGAAAACGAAAGCCGACATCTCGTTGTTTCCCTAATAAAATATACTTGCACTTTTTTTTTCTAAAATATAGTTAGTAGGAGTTCCCATGTTATATAAGACAGACGAGTACAGTAATTATGGAAGTAAATACAGCGCGCTTGTTTTCGATAAAAATTGTTTGCTTGGTAATGAGCGCGTTTAATATTTATATGAATATATTCGTTCGGGTTGGCATTATAAAATAAAATTTAGATTTGCAATTAAGAATCATTAAACATTTACTAGAAATGAGAGGTTATTATGGAACACATTAAAAATTGAAGAAACGGAAATAAATATAATCTTCATGGAATGCCACAAGGGTTATTTCCAAATTAAAAATGCACTATGCATACCCAATTTGGCCATTCTGCTAATAAAAACATTAGCATTTGCGCTCTCAGTGATTTGTATTATTTTCGGATAACGCGTAATGATAATGCAGCACAAGCTAACCTTCAATTAAAAAAACAAGTGGTTGAATAGTCTCTACAGATGGTATACGTAAAAGCATGAGCTGTATGACAATATAGAAAATTTTCCCTGTCGTTAACCTCAATCAACACAAACGCGAATGCTTACACAAATTAGTCGCGTGAAAGAGAGAAATGTTTCGTATTTCAAAACGCATCAACTACTACAGACCTTTAGTCCCGTGAGTGTAGCACATGCATTGGATACTGAGCGATACTGTTTTTTCTTCACTAGAGCTTGATGATGAAAGGAGCGTACCGAAATTTGCGTAGTCAGATGGGAAGAGCGTTTGATGTAGTGATCACCCGTGAGTGTAATACCTGTACCGTGAGGTGGCGTTGTTCCTGCCTATTGATTGATTGATTGATTGAGATTTCGGGAGGGTCAACTACTAGGGTCGTTGGTCCCGTAAGTGTAGTGCATGCTTTTGCTCTGAAGGTGGCGGTGGTATTTCCTGGCTAGATTGGCGAGATCCAACGGCGACACCGTCCGCACGCGGGATTTTCCCTAACCATGTATTTCACCAGCGGGACACTGCCCAGACGGGACAAGCTCACGACTGGTCTCCCGGTATGCATTGTAAAGTAATCCATGTTGTGTATGTGTGTGTAACTAAGGGATGAGGATAGAACAATGAAGAGGTAGGAAAGATCGCGCGCGGTCCGTGGCCCGTTTATTAGGATACTCCTCCGGCATTCGCCTCGTGTTGATTGGAGAAACCACGGAAAACTACCGATCTAAGCGTTAACAACGCAGTCACCAGTCATCTCAGCTGGTGAAATTTTGTCGATGACTTAAAATGCAAGGGCTCAGGAGGCGACTCACCCGAGACGTTGAGCTGCGCGAGCTGGGCCGGCTTCTGTCGCGGAGGACGGGCCGAGGGCGAGACGGGTCGCGGGGGGGCTGAGGCCCGCGCTCGCCGCCGCCTCCGCGCCCCGGCTCGCCCGCGCCGCGCTCGCGCCCGCTGCCGCGCCGCTGCCACGCGCTCCCAGCGCCGGGGCTCTTGAGGCCGCAAGCTTGTGCGGCTGCCGGGAGGCGCCAGCGGGGGCGGCGGGGCGCCGCCCCGCCGGCCTGCTCGGCCGGTCGGCGCTGGAAGGTCGTCGCCAGCGGCAGCACGACTCGTAGATGGCTTCGGAGGCGCCGGCGACAGCGCCCCGGGCTTGGCGTGCAGCCGTGGGGCGGCGGCGCGTGGAGGCGCGGCGGCACCCCGCCCGGGGCCGGCGGCGGCGGCGGCGGCTCGTCGCTCCGCAGGAGCGATCCCGGCTGGCACCGGCGCCGGCTGCAGCTCAGCACCGCAGCGCGGCGCCGGCGGCGGTCACAAGGCAACACCCGCCCGCGCTCACTCCTTGATGACCGTCTCCAGCTGCGGCACACAACGGCGACCACGCGTCAACGCATGCAATTCTAATTCTTCATCATTCATCACTGCTTCACAGATGGATTGATTTCCTTCAAGAAACTCTTACCCCTTTAAAGCTATTTGCTTTTCATTTTATTACAATTTTATTAGAAGGTATTCCTTTGACATTGTTATTTCTCTTTGGACTCAACATTATCATTTCATTCCCTAGAAAACAGAAGTGACCTTTTAGTCAATATTGCAGCTATGAATGACGGTTGTCCATTTTGTTTAGATGTAACACTTTTTAGAACTAACTAAAATGAAACATTTTAAGAAAGAATAAAAAAATGCACATCATATTACACTTCAGACTTTTCCTTCCCTCTTCTCGTCTACCCGCGTCAGTACATTTGTACTATCGGTGGAAAAAAGGTAACATAAAATTGAATAATTTATCAAAAGTTCAGAATCCCACATTCGTCTACACTTTCATCTGCACATTTATTTCTTATTTCCTGAGTTATACAGGCATTCCTGAAAAAAATGATTCACAAAATTTTAAAAGCGTTATGGCAGGTTCCGAACACGGTTTTAACTCGCATGAAGAATGTGTTCATTATGATACATGTAAATTAACTATTAGACACGATACTATGTTGTCCGTGTTGATACCAGATTCTACTAAATCATTTTTCATTACACTTTTTTACCGCGTTATGATTCGCAGCACCGTTATTTAACAATTACAAGTTACTTACTTTTAAATTGGCATTGAGTGTACGAGTTAATTTATACCTTACCTTATAATTAAAATGGAAAATTAACTTCATTTTCATCCAAAATAGATTGTGGCCGAACTATAAACGCTTTGAGACCATCACACGTAATTATTTACCATACTCAGCAAGTTTGAGGCAAGAGTTTACCTACCCACAAAATCACATTTTCCCGTAATGTAATATTAGCAGCTCCCCTTTGAATGCATCGATTCTGGTAAAGTAAAGGGTACACGATGCACCTGTAGAAGCAACGTGTTGTAGCGATACTATTAAAGTGGCAATGTCCTAACACCCAAATTTTAAAAAAAGGTTTCCATAAAATGTAAACAACTTTTATTTACTTTAAAATCATGTATCTAATTGAAGTGGGCCAACAATGCTTTTAACTATATTAATAGCTGATAAAATATTTTTCTACATACCAGCATTTTAAAACCGACCATTTGTATCGCAAGAAATCGTTCAAAATCGGGCATATCACGACCGAAATTATGTCGTATTAGCATTTTACGGTATGAATAATTCCATCTCACATTCAGTCAATTGCAGCAATAGAATTGCGGGTTAAAGGTAAACAGAACAGCCGACCATCGTTTTCTTGCAGAGATGTCAAACACCCGTAACGTCATAAAGTTATTTCGCAAAATTAAATTCGATTTTCTTATAGATTTTTAATGCTGTTATACAAAACAATAGCGTATGCAACTTATTTTTAAAGATGCTTTATTGCATTCGTACAAATTTGAAAACTCACTCCTCACGTCGCATATTTTCAAAACATATACTCATACAATAAAGTTTAACGTTATTATCCAATAGCATAAACTACTATTATTGTCTTCATACTAGTGATACAACATGAACAAGAAAAACATACATGTTACTAAATATGGATGTTCAAAATCAAAACGACGATGTTAAAAATACATCGATCCAAAACCATAGACGTTTTTAAACATCGATGTTTTAAAGTTTATTTAGTAACTTCTAACATTAAATTCATGCGCAACAAAATTTAATTAGACAATGACCGTGTTTATAAATCTATAATTAAAATTTAAATGAAAACACGTCTATCCATGTGCAAAATACAGGAAAGACGAAGGAAATATCTGGCAATCAGAATTATCTCGCGCAAGGAATGATAGTCTGCTCGATGAAGATAGAACAAGCCACGTTCCTTTCGATCGAATACAAACAGCACCATTATTCATTGCTTCTTATTTTAACTTTTATAAACTTGTGATTATGGGCATCTTTCAACCACGAACAAAACATCCAAAACGTAAGAATATCCAAAACGTAAACATCGAACCCAAAACATCGATGTTAAAAAAACATCGGTTTCAATACATCGATGTTCAAAACAATTATATTTTTTTATAGAATCATCGATGCTTTCAAAACCTCGACATCGATGCTTTC